ATTTTCAAACCATGGTATGTATCTAATTCTGTATTTTTAAAAAAATGAAATGAAAAAACATGCCAATTTAAGAGCATGTACTTTCTTGTTAATCCTTCATATGTCTATGACTAAACCCATGTGCAGAAGTCTAGTCTCATAGTCTATAAAGCCAGAAGGGACCATTATGGTAATCTAGTCTGACCTTCTCTACAGTGCAAGCCACAGAACCGCAGCCATCCACTCCTGTAATAGACCCATAACCTCAACTTCACTGGAGTTACTCCTGATTTACACAGATGTGGGGTCAGATTCAGATCCTGTCTCCACTTGTCCATATATTCAAATCTAGAGACTTATCAAAGCAGTCCAGCTGAGCTCAAGTGTAATGGCAATAGAATGGGCAAGAATCTCTAATACACCCAGGGTCATATAAAATGTACAGATGAACACCATGAAGAGCACTTTGACTGGAACCGGAAGCCAGTGCAATCTATGGAAAATTTGTTATACCCATAGAATCACAGAAGTGTAGGAGTGGAAGGGACCTCAATAGGATATGTAGTCCAGTCCCCTGCACTCAAGGCAGGACTACTAGACCATCCCTGACAGGTGTTTGTCTAACCTGTTACTAAAAACCACCAATGACGGAGATTCCACAATCTCCCTAGGCAATTTGTTCCTTAACTACCATTACAGTTCAGAAGCTTTTCCTACTGTCCAATCTGAACCAACTTTGCTGCAATTTCAGCCCATTGCTTCTCACCCTAACCTGAGAAGTTAAGAAAAACAATTTTTACCATCTTCATTATAACAATCTTTTACATACTTAAAAACTGTTCTGTCCCCCCAAGTCTTCTCTTCTCCTTACACTATTTCCTCCACAGACAAGGGAAATGCATCCATATTCACCTGCGGAACTTCTCTGCAGCGTTTGATACCACTGGACACAAGTATGCCTGTCCTGCCTCAAAGTAGGGTTGCCAACACTCCTGGTTTTGCTGGGAGTCTCCCAGAATTGGGCTTTAGCTCCCAGAGGCTACTGAAGCCAAATTGGGAGATTTTAGGCCACTAAAAGTCAGGTGGCACAGCGGGACTAAGGCAGCCTCCCTGCCTGCCCTGGCCCCGTGCTGCTCCCGGAAGCAGCCAGCACGTCCCTGCGGCCCCTGGAGGGGACAGGGGTCTCCGTGTGCTGCCTGCACCCCAACTCTGCAGCTCCCATTGGCCGGGAATTGCAACCAATGGGAGTGGCAGGGGCGGTGCCTGGAGGCAGGGGAAGCACGGAGAGCCTCCTGCCCCCACTAGGGACCGTAGGGCCATGCTGGCCACTTCTGGGAGCGGCGCGGGGCCAGGGCAGGCAGGGAGGCTGCCTAAGCACCACCCGGCTGGAGCCTGCACCCTTCACTCCCTCCCGCACCCCAACCTGGTGAAAGTGAGTGAGGGTGGGGACGAGGGAGGGAGTATGGAGTGAGCAGACCTGAACTTAAGGGAAGCGTTGGGGTGGGGGAATCCAAAGCAAGGAAGCTATGAAAACTTGAGCAAGGCTGAAATGAAGCAGATTGGGGGAAGTCACCCCAAATTTTGGGTATGAATAACCATCCACTGTCTTTGGAACTTGAACATGTTTGGCGGTGAGTTCATCGACTGCTAAGTCTAATAGTAGTGTAGCTGTGAGGACCCAATTTAATCAAATACGGTTATTTGAAAGTATCCTATTCTGAAACCTATTCCAAAGCATAGTATGCGCTGTGCGTATTTTGCAATAAGCACAGAGTATAACCTGTTGTCTCCTGAGGTTCATTTAAAACTTAAAAATAACTGACAGATGCATTTGATTTATAAAGGAAAGATTTATTTTCTGTTATAAGGTGATTACAAACTCCATCTAAAAAAGCAAAGATGACTTAAAAATATCAATATACATTTTTATCTAAAAATCAAAACGGATACTGCAAAATACAAACATTTACTGTATACACAAAGGCTAGTTTTAAGGATTGAATTACACTCCAGGATCTTATTCAAATACAAACAGTCCTGCTCAGAACAAAACCAGATTTTTTTTTTTTTAAACAATTATTGTTAAAGTCTTTAAAAAAGTCAGGTGACTTAAACATCCTCACTCTTCCATGTGCTACTTATCACATACTGTAGTTACAGTTATTAGGAATTTAAATAAAAAACAAAAATAATCACCACCATCACTGTTTTTAGCTAACTACATCCAACAAGATGGACCACCGCTTACTATGTGAAGTCCCTGGACACATATCAGGTAACAATCACAACATCACACTGAAAAAAAAAATCCTAGCAAAACAATGAGCGTTTCAGATCAGTACTTCAATTAATCCAATGCTAAGAGAACATCCTTGGGTTCTTGGACAAGAGCAAATGATGGACCACCTCAATGTTCAGCCTCCCAACAAAATTTCAACACTGGTGTTCTGCCAGTTTGCCTACTGTAAAAACCTTTTCACACCTCAGCTGCAAAAGATTTACAGACAACAAGTGCCAGGCTAAAGAAATCCAGTTTCTTTTCCTAGTTCTCTTGTATCCTCTGAGTGGGCCTAAAATTCTGATTTTAACAGGGGCAAAATGGAAGGTGAAATTAACAGAATTTTTGTGAGTCCCTCCCCCCTGCACACACATTTTTCAACCTGCCTTCACAGACTTTGATCTTTGCTTGTTTCCAGGTTTAAAACCAACAGTAAAGCTGTACTTTGGTTAAGTTTTTTCAGATCTTGTTTTAGCTTTCGATTAGAAATGGTTGGAAAATGCCACCTGGGTGGGTTTTTGTATTGTTTTGTTTTGTAATGGATTTTGAAGAATTTTTTTTCAAAATGTCCACTTTTTAAATAATAATAATAAAAACAAGGGAAAAAACTGAAAATGTTTGCCTTTGGAAAAAATAGAAGCCTTTGAATGAAACATTTTCAGTTTGGTGGTGGGGGGGGGTGTTTCCTTACAAAAATTTTTTTTTGACCAGCTGTAGTCCTGATTGGGCACTGTCTTGGGTAAAATTTCTGCTGAAACTAAATTGTCCATTGAAATCAGTGAGCTTTTTAACCAAGGCATGCAGGATCAAGGTCTTATTTTATGCATCTGGCTTGCTCTCTTATGTTCCGTGTCCCCAGATGCTTGAGTCATGTTTGCTTTGTAGCTAGGGATTTGATCTGATGCTTTGATGTCCTTCTTACAGTAGCTTAGAATAAACTAAAGAGTAATACATCGAAAAGCTGTAAACCCAACATGTCCTATTTAACATTAATTCCTCGGTAAACAAATTAGTACAATTAGGAGCGTGTTCATCCTGATTAAAAATGAATAAATATCCTAGATTAAAGGTTGTGTCCTAGTAGTTCCTGAATGCTTCTCAGCTGAGCGTTAATAATAACCTTTAATTTTAAATACAAGGCTTTGGCATCTAACTCTGGAAGAAATGGGCCCAAGCTGTGACCTTCAGATCCCTAACTGAACTCCTGTACAATTTAGGGGTATTTTGGACCTGGGATTTCAGTTCAGCCTATGACAGAGGCAGCCATGAATCTTAACCTAGGTTCCCCAAAGTTCAGGGTGGTTGGTTCTGAGCTTTTATTTCACCCCATCCCTAGTTAAGAAGAGGTGATCTTGGCTCCTTGAGGTTTAGGCTTCTCACCTATGAATACTGGCTAACCTGTCCCACCCTACTTCAGTGCACTCCTGTGAATCGTCAAACAAGGTGGGGTGGCATTGGTACTGCAGTGCATTCAAAAGCGCTTTTCCTTTGTACAGTTTTCTTTGCCAGCAATACCTGATCAGATCATCTCCCAAGAATGACGTCAATACGTTGAAGACTGGACATAGCAGCACCTCCCCTAAGGCTGTTTTTAATTGTGGTGGGGGGGGGTCTCATTTGAGATGTTAATTGAAAATAGTTGTTTGCTACAGGGAGCGTGCCAAATGCACTGAATTTCCTGGATGTGAGGTGATGGCCATCTTTCTTCCCAGTGCACTTGAAATACTTTAGTAGTCTGTGCCCTCCACCCAATACACATCTTATTTAATCCTTTATTTACACTGTCTCCCCACCTGATTCCCACAGTGAGCACAAGCCATGGCTTCATAACCAGTTCCTCCAAGTGTTCAGTCGTTCGCCCACTGAAGACAAATGGCGGTTAAGCGATTGTTATCAATGGGTACCGGATTTGAACGCACTTATGACAAAGATGGACATTACCAAATTGTCAATCCTGCTCAACAACGTACTACTGACTGCTGGACATTTTCACTCTTCTTCAGATCTAGAGCTATTTGGGACAGAGGCTGGGTAGCCGTGTCCATCTGCAGGTGAGCAGTTAGGACACATACTGCATTAAAAACAAGCCAGAGTTCTGATCAGCCACTGATCATGTGATTACAGTGCTGATATAAAATGCTCTGCTGTTTTCTTGTTAAAACAATTAGAAGGCTGCAGAATTTTTTTTATTCAAGTGCACCAGTGCAGCTCAGTCGTGCTGATCCACTTCCCGAACCCACATTCAAAAGCTGACCTTCCACTGCAGCTTGGATAGCAACGTATTTTAAGGTGGTACATAGAACTACTGTGCTTTTTTATTTTCGTTTGCTGCATAGGAACAGATCTATGTTGGCTTTCATATCTCAAACTTCATTGAGAACATATGGAAGCTCAGAGATCTGTTTGGATCAGAGTCATCATGAAAAGGAAAATTAATGAGAACCAAAACAAATTCTGTTCATGAAACCATGTTGTACCACTATAGTCTACTGGTTACATCGTTATACTGCGTGACTTTTAATGAGATCACGACTAGTGACAGGTGAACTGCAAGAGTTTGGAAGGTTTGTTTTAGATAAGAATCCTAAGTTTCGATTATCTGAACTGCTTTGGTCTGAAAATCTTATGAGCGCAAGATTTCCCCCATGAAATTTTCAGTACTTGATTTCAGTGAAGTTGGAAATATTGCCATGTCCAAACCCAAAAGAAACCACAAAGGTGCATGAAATGTAAAAAGAGAGACTTTTTTTTTTTTTGCAAAGATTTTGGGGCCAACATCTGAGGTATTTTTCCCCTTAACTGAAATCAGTTCACCTATGATTAGTCATGATATTTAGTGCCTCAGCTGCATAGGACAGGTAAAATAGGTCACACGTGGTTACAAAGTAAATTAGAAAATTAGTTATCGTTGCAATCATAAATATGTAGAAAATATAAACTTGAAAGAATCATTTACTGTTTGTTTTGTTTTTGTTTTCATTTAGCAGACTATAATGTTGAAATGCAAGTTTACCACCAGGTAAAATTTAGAAATCTGATAAAACATTAGGAACCATTCTAAAATGTGAATAGGCTCACTTGCGCTGAAAACCGTGGGCTGGTGACCAGCATTGTTCTGGGTGACTGTTTTACAGAAATGATTTAATAGCGCATCATGAATCCGGCCCTTTCTTGCAGTCAGGCTGAAGAGCACAAGTCAGGGCCAGCGAAACTTACACCAACAGAACGTCAGTGAGGTCATTGCATAAGTGTGTGAGACACTTTCACTTGGAACGTGGAAGCGACTGATTTGAATGGCACAGTTTGAGTCAAAATGGAGCTGGGCTCTCGTTCTTGTTTATTTGTAGTTTTAAAGGTGTAGTATTAACCCTCTGGTTCCTAATGCAAATCCCCCCTCCACCATGTGTGAAGCATGGTGAAATATCCATCTCTGACGCACCAGCTACTTTTGAAATCTCAACCTTCAAACTATTTTTCTCATTAGTGTCCCTCCCAGATATACACCTTATAGAGTATGTCCGCACACACAAAATGTGAGTCTATAACCAAATATGCTACTGTAATTTACACTAACTGAAACGAGGAATTTAATTATTGGGTTGCTATTCTGACCTTAACTCGTGCCATTGGGCCTATACACAACGTATGACGAGATTTGACTTCAGCAGGCTTTGGCTCAGACCTTCGCTGTTGCCACAAAGGCTGGAATACATAACAACATGTATGACAGAGTTTTAGCTTTAATTTAGTTGCTTTTTGATAAAGGTAAAAAAAATTAAACACAGGAATTGTTTTTTTTTTCTTAAGTAAAGTTCTCAAAATCCAGTTGTAATCATGTTGGCTTAGAAAATTCTTCTGTTGAGATGGTCAAGACCCCCGGAGTAGCTTTAGGGTGGCTATTACCATCAGGCCTGCACGTGAGCTGTGATATTTGCCATAACAAATTATAAAAGTGTTTTCAGCTGCAGCTCTCATAATACAGTAATTGGAAAAGAAAACAAAAGCAACGGGGTGTTGGCTGTTTTTGTTGCTGGAATTCAGCCTCTTTGACTTAAAAACAGAGACTCAAAGATTCTCCAGCTATACAAGACACTTTTTTTTGGTCCCTTTCTTACTTCTAAATTGCCCCTTCTGTTTTACATTAATACTAACTCGACATGTGCTTCTGCTGCAATGACCAGTTAGTGCATGACCTGCAGAAGAGTTCTGTGTACCTCAAAAGCTTGTCTCCCTCGCCAACAGAAGTTGGTCCCATACAAGATATTACCTCACCCAGCTTGTCTCTCTAATATCCTGGGACCGACATGGCTGTAACAACGCTGCCTACAGTTAATGCATGGGACATCTTTTTTAAAATGTCCCATGTAGGAATGTTAAGAACTGGATATGTTCCCATTTAAACTGCAAAAATCTACCCATACACAAACTGAACTGGCAATAGTATAAGCAGGAACAGACTCGGCTGCTGAATCTCTTCCCAGATCCCTTTGGCTAGCGTAACTGTGGTACTATGATTAGGAGGATTATTGTATTCCAAGTACAATACCCAAATGGAAAGGGCTGGATTTCTTTGGGGAGCCTCTTCTCAGCGTGTGTTGAGGTTTATGAAACAAGACCTATCCAGATTTCTGAAATTCTTCAGGGAGCAAATATCTATTGAAATTCTTGATCTGGCCTATGTGATCAGTTTATCTACAGCCATCCAGCTTTAAAAACCATTTAGGAGCTATGTACTGCATTAAATGCTTTCTTTTTATTTTTCTTAAGTCTAAATTGGAATGGTATGTAATGTTTTTTTAACCAAAGAAATATTACAGACTTCCTTCTCTTAATTTACATAAAGCCCTAGTTTATAGTAGGTTGAGTTCCCCCTTTTTGTCCCCCATACATGCATTACCCAAAAAACAAAATGGTGGTAGAATGGTCCTCTGGGGCAAGTCAGTCAGGAGACCTGAGTTCTAGTCCTAGCTCTGCCACTGAGTTGCTGTAACCTTGGACAAGTCACTTTCCCTCCCTGGGCCTGCTTTCCCCCACTGCACCAACAATAGTCAAATAAATAAATAAATAAATAGGGATACCAATTTGAGGTATACGGCTGAACAGCGCATATGGATGTGCTAAGCATTATTGTCCTCTTCATTTAATTACTATTATTAAAAATGTGCCTGCTGGAAATGCCTGGTGTACAATATATCCGTGGGCTGCTTTGCTCCTGGGGTAATGAATAACTGGCTGGCTGTTAAGCTTGGTGCGATCATTGTCCTCAACATATTTTTCTTTAGATACCAAAGCCCAACAGTTTACAAAATACATATATATTTTAAATTCCATAAAACATGAATGCTGCCTCTCCATAATTCAGATCTTAGCTATCGCACAGGCTCCTCCTACTGTTCTGTTTGTACAAAGTGCAAGTTTAAACTAGGAACACCTCAGCTAACCTATGGTGTGCAGGAAAACTAAAGGGTATGTACACAAAACTCCTTCCTCAGGCAAAATGTCTTCTGTAGGCAATATGTATTTTGTCTTCTACTGTGACTGGCCTTTTTACACAATGCTCAGGAGGGACAGGCATCCTGATTGGGTATTTAATTCCTAACTACAGTCCTCCCTCCCCCATAAATTTCTCTCCTCCAGTTGAACAGATATATATATATATTTTTACATGGACCATAGCAAAGGTAACATCATGACTCAGAAATCTGTCATTCACCCTGCCTGAACCAGAGGAAGAAAAGCACTACACCTTTGAAAACCAATCCCTTGAAGCAACATTCACCTTTTTTTCTTCATTTGCAATTTCTCTCAACAGAACTCACTCATGAGTTCTAGGGTTTACCCTGTTCCCAACCACACCAGCACCTAAAAAAATTGCTTTCTGAGATTTGAATATATTGCTGGCAAGAAAATCAATTTCAAGTGATAAGATGTATAATATTCAGAGAGCTATTAACGTGTTAGAAACCCAAATGGTAGTAAATTCCTGTAATAGGTCTAGTCTGATATGAAAACTGCCTCCTGCAAGAGGCTTCTGCTGTGATTACCTTACAAAATATGTAAAAAAAATAAAAAGAAAAGAAAAGAAAAAACACCACAAAAAATAACTTTCTCTGTGAGAAATAAAAATAAATCCTAGTGCAAATATAAAGCTCTGTAAACCCGGTCCTATGAGAATCTATGGTTAGTAAATGGCAGTTAAAGCAGGTTTATCCTCTCACAGAGAGAGCTCACATCATAGTCTCCACAATGACGTGAGTTGGCTTAATCAGTCCACCATTAGGAGTTCCATTGGGGCAGAATGAGGTGGTGCTTTCCATTTCTTTGGCCCACCGAGTCACTTCCCTAGGGGCAGCCACTGTTTTTATTCTCTGAAAGGGGAAAGAGCAACAGCCAAGGGTTAGAAAAATGGCCACATCAATCCTAAGAACAAGAGTCTAGAAAAGTGTGTTGTCATAAAACATAGTTCTCTCCAAATGATCTTGAGCATCTTATGAAGGGCTTAATCTTGCAGCTGCTTATCCGCAAGTGTAGTGCCTACTGCCACGAGCAGCTCCATTGATGCTACCAATTAATCTGGCTCACTGTCAGGGAGGCCACTTTCATCTTTATCATTAAACCCCGTATCTGAATTAGGCTAGGTCATTAGTAAATACCATACTAGCTCAGATCTGAGTCCACTTAGACCAGTATCCTGAGTCCAAGAATGGCTGGTACCAGATGCTAACCAACCTGCACAATAGGGAGCTTGCTTCCTTAGCCCCTTCAATTTGTAGTTGGTGTATACTCTGAAGCATACGGATATATCTTCCCCTAAAGCTATTTTTATCCTATCTGCTGTAACGATCTCATTATCCATGTAAAAGTCCAGTCTATTTTTGAGCCCTTGGCCTCAATTAGAGAATGAAACGTGGTATCTTTAAGTACTGGAGATCAGAGAAAAGTAATTCAAGAAAGGTTGTGGAATTACCATCATTAGAGGTATTTGAGGCTAAACTTGGCCATCAAATATTCAGGGATGCTATAAGACTAATGGAAACTGTACTATTGCTATGCAGCAGTGTGGCCTACATGACCCAGAATGTCCTTTCCAACCCTAATATTTTATTCAAGAAGGAGCACCAGGATGGGAAGTCAGACTGTCTGACTAAACACAAGTTGCATTTCAGTGCTGTAGAATCTCCGCCGATTCATGTGTTCTCTCTCGTATTGAAAACAATCCTGCCTTTAAACAGGGTAGTTCATTGGCAAGCTGCAACCTTTCTTCTAGTTCTCAGTTCACAAAGAAGGAACTAGACAAGTGGTTACCGCCTCCCTTCCCTAAGATGATCTTAAAAGGCAGCTTTGGCTACTTTTAGACCGCTTTCTGAATAGATGGTGAGAATGCAGGCAGGAAAATAAAACCCCCAACAAAATGTCCTAGCCAGCACTAAAAAAGACCATTAAAACTTGGAGAACACACAAATTCAAGTGTATTACTGTGTTCTGGGAAAAGCTACTTTCTTTACTGAAAAAAAGCACAGTTTGAAGAGAAGATGAAGAAACACTGTGAAGGGCGAATAGAAGAATGTAGTTGACTTTGTCTTTGAGGTGCACTAAGCATATATCTGGCCGAGGTAGGACCAAGCTGTAAAGTTCAGATCTCAATCCAAGTTTCCCCAAAGTCTGGGAGCGTTTGGAGCCAATGTTTCATTTGGTTCATTTTAGAGAGCGAGAGGGGGAGAGAGAGAGAGAAGAGCCAAAAAGTTCAGAAAAGAGTTTTCCTAAAATTCGGGAATTGAGTTTTTGACAAGAGATGAGGTCAGGCATGGCCTTCACATGTGGTACTAAATAGCCTCAAAATTCCATGGGTTCTTGGGTGCAGGATTTAGATTTGGCCTTCTCTCTAACTTTTCTAGCTATAATCTTCTCTCTACTATTTTACCTATTGAGCTCCCTTTGCCTTGCAAACTGAGCTCTGGTGCACGGAGGCATAGTTCAGTTTCTGTGTGAAATTAGACTAACAAAACAACTGTGCTCAGAGAGGGAACATTTTGTTGAACAAAAAGAACACAGACATGGAAGGGCAAGTAATATCAGCTGATATTTTTCTGAGGCCAGAAGGCTTAGGTTTTAATCTAGTTAGATAGGATTCATAATATTTGCTGAAAGAACTGGTGATCTGAAAAATGATTATTTATATTGGTTAAACTGAGGTGTTCAACTTTGCCCTATCAAGAGCCACAATGACAGCTTTCCAAGGGTTGTGATTATTTTGCACAACATGAATCAGGCTGCAGCTGGCCTATCTTTTGTACAGGAGGCAGCTTCATGTCACATCATGCCATGCTCCATCTTTATCAAGATGGAGAAGGTGGAGGCTAGCATGCTGGGGTCTGTATTCTCCACTAGCAGCCCTTCCATATTAAAGACATGGACAAGTGTGTGCCATATTGTACCTCTCCAGTGTGGCTTGCCTTATCCACTGTATGTTAAAATAACCTACCTGGAGCCAAATCAACAAAGCAGATACAAAGAGAGTAGCCCCCCAACTCAAGCCACCATTTACTCTTAAACGTTAAATTTTTCTCGCTCTGTCTCACGCATACACACATATCCATCCATCCATCCACCATTTATGTGGTCATTCTTACCTCAATAAGTGAGCCATCCGACTGTACAATGCGGATGACCATCACCAATGGGATGCAGATCATGGAGGAAAGAGCAAGAACCCATCCCACGCCGATTGACCAGTCAGGGTATGTGTAAACTTTGTTGTAGGTCAGAGGTGTATACTTGACCAGAGAAAAGATAAAGCATGCCTGCGAGGGAGGGGAAACAAAACGAGAAGAAGGGTTATAGCATAGGTACTAGCATTGTGGATCCACTGCAGCTTACACGGGATATGGTATCACTGGGACCCAGAAAAGGAAGGCAGTAAAAGGCAGCACTGGCCAACTTTGCTAAACATTTTAAACTACGGGAAAGACATTCTACACTGAAACTGTTACAAGAGCGCTTTATATGTGCATGTGTATGTAAATAGCCAGTTAATATGCATGTTTATGTAAATAGCCAGTTAATAGATATGGCCCCAGTAGATAGCACTCAAACATGTAGCACAGTTCCTGCATTTTGTAGAACCGATAACACTTGTTCATTGCAAATGAAGTGCTCTGTGCAGTTCTTTACCTCGTTTCCTAACACTGACCAACTTGTCCTCCAGCATAAAGTTGCTTTCTTTCAGTACTGGTTACTTCGCAAGGGAAAGATATAATGCTCTTCCCCCTTGCAAAATTAGGAAAACTACTTATTTCTGCTCTGCAACCAACACAGCTAGGTTTTGTGCTTCAGTTTGTATGCCAGGTTCTTGAATGCTCTTTAAATCAAATAGCCACTTAACAGTGAGGTAGATCGCCATAAGCCCAGTGAGTCAGGTCTGCACTGCATGGGCATCCATCTAGCACTGGCTAACCTCCAGAGTCCTGTCCCATCGTACAGCGATCTCAGTGTAAACCCAATGATGGATTCTAAGGGGACAAGCTTTTCTTTTGCTGTTCCAAAGTCCTGGTCAGGATATTATTACAGTACTCTTACAGTATCTCCCCTCTCCTGAACTCTCCTCATCTGTGCTCACTTTTGAGCATGGTGTTAGCCAATACATATATGTTAGGTGCCATGGACACTACATTAAATAAATTAATGGAGATATCCTATCTCCTAGAACTAGAAGTGACCTTGAAAGGTCATCGAGTCCAGCCCCCTGCCTTCACTAGCAGGACCAAGTACTGATTTTGCCCCAGATCCCTAAGTGGCCCCCTCAAGGATTGAACTCACAACCCTGGGCTCAACCCACTGAGCTATCCCCAGCATGTGCAGGTATATTAACCGAACTATATTATGTATTTCCCACAATGCTGTTCACTTCTGTTCACTCATGTCAAGCTATATATCCTACAATATCCTGCAAAGCTGAAGTCAGCTTTGACACTGGAAATTATGAAGGGACTGTGACCTGGAGCTGGGTCAGGTGGGTGACAGCAAAGCTGTCTAGCAGTCAAAAAGACTGGAAGGGAGATGACTCATCAGACACCTACACTCAACAAGCAAGCCCACTTGCTTTGACAGTAATGAGGTTTTACATCGGACATATGAATCTACTGTGTTGCATTAACATGCATCAGTGAGAAAGGAAATATTTTCTCTGTGTGTTCGCAAGAAAATAGGAAATATGAATATGAGGGGACTTGATTTTCTCCAGCCACTGCCTTGCATATAGGAATTCTGCTGTGTTGAGGCCACGTGCTACAACTGTCCACCTCAAATTGTCAACATTTACACAGCACTGGCATAAAAACATCCAACATCTTCATCAAGACTAGCTGACACTGCTCCACTATAGCTGGGGCTGGTAGCACTGTCTATGCTTAAAGTTGCTCAATACTTCCCAGTATAAGATCCTGTTTTCGGCTGTTTTATAACTTTACCAAACTTTAACCATTTGGGCTGCAGTTTTCCATGCTGAGTGTCAGCCTAAGGTTGATTGATAGATATTGACTGATTGATTGATTGATTGATTGGAAAATTTCAGCCAAAATGGTTGAGTCATTTCTGAAGACAAGGCTAGGGAAAAATATATTGTTTCGCCCATTTAAAAAAATTCTGGAGATCTTTTCTTTGAAATGCTCTAATGTCCCCCTTCCCCCCATACTTTGGTGTAGGGCCTTGGAATTTGGCAAGAGGCCTTTGTTTCAGAGAGCGGACTTTTACTATCCCCATGAAAATCCGCCGAAATTTGACAAAGTTATAAATAAGCCTTTGAAAAATCATAGTTCACACATGCTCAGTAGAGACCTGCTAGAGCTCAACACTAAAATCTCAGACGATTCTATCTTCACTGAGCATGCTCAAGCATCTCACAGGTCTTAGTGCTGACCAGACTGTGCATGTACCATCCACACAGAGCACAGGGTCAGGCACCAGAAATTAGAATAGGGAACCTATCTCTCCTATGCTCTCAGTGATCCCCCCCCACACACACTCACACTGGTCCTCAGGCAATGTGGAGGATGAAGCTGTCTAACTCTTATACAGAGGGGACAAAGCTGGGGGAAAAAGTGGCATGAGACTAGAAGTAGAGGGGGGAGAGTAACTGTAACTGGGAGATGGAGGAGACTGGGACTTGGAGCTGAGGGGAGACTAGGACTGGCTGGATCAGGAGCCAAGGACAGGGAGCTAGTGGGGGAGGAGGGAAAGCTGGGCACGGCTAGGTGGGAAGGCTGGTACTGGAACCAATGAGGGAAACAGGGTGGGGTAGGGTTGGGAGCCAGTTGGCTCAGGGAGAACATTGAAACTGGATAAGGAGCTACGGGGGAGGACCGAATGGACCAGGCAATTTTGCACAGGCAACCTTAATTCTGGCATTTCCTAACTTCTGAATGCTGGTCTTTGCAACATAGCTTTTTGTGTTATATATAATACTGAATGAGAAACGGAGCATTTCCAACCTACGTGTACCCCTTTCAGTTTGGTACCTGCACACAGTGGCCCTCTGGGATGTTCCCCTTTACAGGACAAAAAACCAGGACAAAGTTTGGAAGGAAAAACAAGTGCAAGATGAGACATAGTGTGATTCTGTACTTACCACGCAAAGAAGTGGTGTGATTAGAATCCAGCTCCATTTCATCCAGGGACCAGGTCTGTATCCAATCATATCTTCAATGGCATCATACATATTATCAGCGCCTGGAATACATAGTCACTTGGTGATTTGGTGAAGAAAAGAGCATTATCAAGAGCCTGTATATGAAAGCCACATAGTGTAGGACATCAGTAACCAAGTGGTATTGCACTAATACAACTGCACAGTTGGGGCTGAGAAGGCGCTGAAGGGGGAAAATAGTGGCTTGTTTTGAGCCTATGGGAGCTGTTTGTGTTTAGAGAGGGGTGTCTGTGGCTAAGTGTGGATGCTAATTTCCATAGTAAAGAGGAAATGTTACATTAAAGGGTTGTGTACAATGTTGTTCAAGAAGGGTGATGCACAGGACTTTCAAAAAGACCTTGAATGGTGGCACTGAAAGGTTGAGGGAAGTCTCTCTTCTCATACTGTTGCAGTAGAATACTGTGTAGAATACTAACCCCAGAGCTACCATGGAAGTTGGCAAAAGTTTTGCCTGAGAAAGGACTGAGTAACAACTGATACAGCCCATTTGAGTTTAAATTTGACTGTGGTTCAATATGAAGTAAAAAAAATGGTATTTATAGTTAATACTATAATATTAATAGTTCATGAAGAACCATGGAAATGACCAGTCTTAGCCAGTTAAAACAACAACATAGATTATTGTCAGATTTAGGAAATTTGCATCACCTAAAAATAACCAGACATAATAGATTTTTTTGTAGGCTCTCTCTTAGCTGTTTTCTATTTGGCTGGCTGGACCCATGTAGAGATTACAGTTTTAGAAAATAGGTCTTTGAGACACAATCAGAGCTTTTCACTATCAGCCGAAAGTTCAGCTCTGGACCTTAGGTTTACACATGCAAATGCTTAAGTGTGCATCTAACTACCAATGAGCATGCAAAAAACATTCAATTCTGTGTGAAAAAATTGGAGGCTGGCTTGAGCCCAGCTAAAAATGTGGCCCTCAGAATGAAGAACAAAATGACAATAAGGGAAAATACCAGGTGCTTCCACAGAATATTCAGGAATGGATGGTTCAGTCTGCTGAATGATGCCTTTCTAGCTTTGACCAACAAATAGGTAAAATTTGGTATTATTGGCTCACGATAAGATTCATATTAGATCTAGGGATCCTTACTTACCATAAACCCAGGCTACAGCAACACATTCAAAGAATGCAACCCACAAAAGGCATACACCACTAGCTGCATAGTAGTCAAAGAGTTGAAACACATACATGCCACCCTGTAAAAGAGACACACACAAGGGTTAGGATCAGTCACTAAAACCATGAGTGCTCTATACTCAATTCCAAATAAAATATCCTTATGAACAGAAGACCATGCTGTACCAAATTCTTTACTGTTTATAAAAAGTAAAATTCTACCAAACTGTCTTACTGCTTAGCATTAACCTCCCTAGAAAAGATGCTTGTTTATCACTGAAAGCATTTTAAAGCAGAAGAGTATTGATCAAAATTAAGCCACTTAGTATAATCGACTGAGGCTAGGTCTACACTACAGCGGGGTTCCGACCTAAGATACGCAACTTCAGCTACGTGAATACCGTAGCTGAAGTTGCGTATTTTAGGTCGGCTTACCTGGCGGTGAGGACGGGGGAAAGTCGACCGCTGCCGCGCTGCCGCCGACTCCACTGCCGCCTCTTGCCGAGGTGGATTTCCGGAGTCGACGGCAGAGCGATCAGGGATCGATTTTACCGCGTCCTCACGAGACGCGGTAAGTCGATCCCCGATAGACCGATTGCTACCCGCCGGATCGGCGGGTAGTGAAGACATACCCTCAGACACTTAAGTCTTTCCTTCTTAAAGATATTTTTGTATGGGCATTTATAGAAACATATGATGGAAAGAAATAATTGGTCTTTAACATAAACTCCTCCAATGAGACTAAAGTCATCTCACTAGGAGGTATTCCATTTATGAGTCTATTACTTTTAAATATTACATAGATATGTCCAGTCTCATTGCCACATATTGCTCTAAATATGCTGAAATGTATTTCAATATGGATGTCATTTTCTTCACTCCTTATGTTAGTTTCACATAAACATTTCTGGAAAAAATTGTCAGTGTATTCGAAATGTCAGTTATGGACATTATTTTGATTCCTACAGAGATCCCTCAGATTTTGTTTTAAATCTGATCTTCAAAAGAAGGCTTGTGTTCTTTCTAAGATAAATATCACATTAGTGCACTTATTGGAACAGATTCTAAGCTCACTTATACCAAGTTAAATCCAGAATAACTTCACTGATTTAACCAAAATCAGAACCTACTTCACTGAATGTACTAGATGGAAGCTGTATACCCCAACACACCATGCTAGATTTGAGTTTAACAATCTCAACCTGTTTTACCTTTTAATGATTTGGGGTCAGATTTCTGGCATTTTCACTCATGTTGTATAGTACCTTAGACACCATGATTGAAATTACTGAGCTTCCTTGTGGAAGAAGTTGAAAGTCAGAAGCTATTCAACTTGGCAGAACAGCACTAGTCAGCAGTTTGGGTCAAGAGATGAAGAATTGTACCCTATTCCATTAAAACTGTAGAGGGAATTTAGCTAGGGACAATGTAGTTACCCAGCCAAATTGCTACAGAAATATACAGCATAATAAACAAATTACGCTAGAGCAGATGAGTGACTTTATCTGGAGTTATTAGAATTATATATATATATGTTTTAAAAGTTTCAGAATCAGAAATAAGATGCAAAGCTCTTTAAAGTAATCTTTGGTTTAAGACCCTGTCTGCCATTCTTGTTGCATTATGAATGGTATGATTAATTTTAAAGCTTTTGTTTTGAAAAGATTTTCATTCCCAATGTCTTTAGCTGTTCTTCTGCACCTATCTGATTAGGAAGCAGCTGTAAACTAAGTTATATGGGAGTGACAGTCAGATTTTCCATCTTTTTATTTTTTTTATGTTCAGACTAGATATGTCGTATTGCTGAGTAGATGCTTCTGGAAATTCCATGTGCTTTATTTTTTGGCTTGCAATGAGGCATCATTGGCTAGGGCAGTGGTTCTATACTGTGACCCCATTTTATAACAGAAAAAAAGGTTTGGGGCCCTCATCCTATGTAGCCATAAAGAAAGGAAGGGTAGTCGTATATCCCGGCAACTGTTCATGACATCCCCGCTCCCCGAGTTGAGAACTAATGGACTGGGTGTCAGAAGTCCTGGGTTCTATTTAACTTCACTGTGCCTCTGTTTCCCCATCTGTAGAATGGGCATAAAGATATCTACCTCCCTTTCAAAGCACTTTGAGATCTAGGGATCAAAAGAGCTATGTAGGAGCTAAGTGGTGGTGTTCTTCCAAGTGGTTTGCTTTGTGCCATCTGATTCACAATGTCAATGAGGATACATGCTGATTGTAAAATAAATAAATAAAGTAAAATAAAGCACTCCATCAACAGTGTTACTTACTTCAGTCACCATAGTTAGTCCCAGAAGATAGCTAAGGAAACACACTATAGCAATGAAGATTTCCCGTCGGTAACCCTTCCTTAGGAAGGATGGGTACAGATCAACTAATGACGTGATCTGTCCTTCAACTTCAACAAACTAAAGGGGGAAAAAAACAAATTGAAATATACACAGTATACATTTCATTCTCTTTTGTCTTAATTAAACACCCCCTAGAAGCTCTGTATTTACACTCTATGGAACTATATAGTACTTTGAATAATCAAATAACAATCCTATTCCTTGCAGCCTCAAGGTTAAAGTGTGTGTGTCATTTTTTAGTTTGGAAGAAGCTTTCAGAATTGAAGTCAGTTTCCTCGCATACTTATAAGACATTAAGTTGGTTTTCTTATAAACATAAGCTACAAGGATAAAGGAAATGAATGTGATGAGAGGAAAATGCTCATGTGGCTTTTATGTTGTAGATGTTTCAGATGAACAAAAAGTGGATGTTAGAAAAGAGACAGAGAAAAATACTCGAAAAGCTAAACCTCCTGAACTGTGGCAGCAACTCTCAATCTCTGTCTTCATTTGATGTGCTGGTGAAATTTATATGCACCACATAGTTAAAGTACAGAATTAGGGCCAAATTCTGTTTTCAGTTATACTGGTGAAAATTCATTCAATGAAATACAGCCCTGCAAACTTTTTTCTCTACACAAAACCCCACTTCCCCCCGTTAGTTTGTTTCATCCACCTAGTGCATCTTGTCATAAACTTTGGCCCCACTCCTGGAAAAATTCTTGCAGATACTTTACACGCTGTAAATAGACCAATTATTCGGAAAAGCACATGGGTAAGGTTAAGATTCTGTCACAGGTATTTTCAGTAAAAGTCAGGGAAAGGCCACGGTCAATAAACAAAAATTCACAGAAGCCCGCGCCCTGTCCCTGTTTTTACTAAGAATACCCTGGGGCGGGAGTGAACAAACAGACCACTGCTAGAGTTGCAACTGCTCCAGCCCTGCCACTGCTCATGCGGTAGGAGATGACCACTGCCGTTCCAGCCCCAGGGGCTGACCCAACCCTGGTCACTGCTCTGGCAGGCAGGGGACTGCCGCTCAGGCAGTGGGCCGCTGGTGAGCTGTCGGCAGCCCCAGGGCTGACCTTGGCCGCTGTACAAACATAATACTTAGTCCTGCCTTGAGTGCAGGAGATTGGACTAGAAGACCTCTTGCAGGCCCTTCCAGTCCTACAATTCTATGATTCTTTACATATGTTTGTACAACTCCTAGCATAATAGGGCCATCTGGTTTGTGACTGAGACCCTTAGGTGCTTCTCTAATAGCTGTAATGATACAGCCACTTTACAGGGGGTAGGTAAAATATTCTCACTTGCAACATAAACCGACGTCTGGAGCAGATCAGCTATCTTACTTTGTCTAATTCAGCATCTTAGAACAGTTTTTATTTTTAAAAAATTATCTGTACGTCCTTGCAACAGAAAAATGAATGTAAGACAAATATAATTAGAGTTGTCCAAATAAAACAAAACCAGCCTTGGGGAAAGGGCGCTAGTTTATTGACAGCCAGAAGAACTTCATGTATAGGAAAAGGGACCATTTAATGGTGCACAAACAAATCTAATAGAAACAAAGAAATCAGACAGCCAAATCCTGCTCTCATATCTGGCACAATCCAAAGCCCACTGAAGACAGCGGGAGCCCTTCCATTGACTTCACTGAGCTTTGCATCAGGCCCCTTACAAGGGTGACTTCATTGAGCTGCATTGATGTAACTGAGGGCAGTTTGGCCCCATTAAGTTGTCAATAAGTAAATGGTTCATCCCCTAGTCAGTGACATATTGCAGCGAGTTCGTGAAGTAGCAATATTCTGGCCTATATAAATCATCCTAGCCTTTGCATTAATATACTTACTATGTCCAGAAACTTCCTTTAAACACATTGTACTCTGTGCCCTTCACTGATAAGGGATAGCAGCTGTATTATTGGACCGTCTAGCTTCCAGTGTTTAATACTAAATGCTTGCTTGAACTCCTATTTTAAAGTGTTATGTAAAACTGTTTTTCTTTTTACATGTAACACTTCCCATTGGTTGGATTTGATCTTAAGATGCTCTGGCATTCCAAAACCCTGCTTGAGTGCACTCCAGAAAGGGGGAGTGGAGGAAGAGGAAATTAAGCGCTCCAATTAGTTTCAATTATTCTACACAGTGAGGAGCTATTTAAAATTACTAGACAGCTTAACATTTGTATAAGCACTTGGTTGTAGAACCGCAGCCCTGGGCATTGTAACATTCAGTTTGGAAGGGACTGAAAGTCACTTAGTAGAGTTCAAAGAGTAAGCAGTAAAGAGCGATTTAGAACAAATGCCACACTTTACAAATTGGAGAGATTAAGCGGGTAACCACTGGGAAAACTCCATTTATGAATCTCTCCTCATATAAGAGAGGATTTGAGTTCAATAAACATGTTGCCTTTGTCGAGTGAATTTTTAGAACGTCAGAGTTACTTTACCACTGGAGTATAAAAAGTTGCCTGTTGCTCTGAAACCTCGGGCAATCTCAGTTTATAGTTACTGCGTAATCCTTGGTTGCCTCTGTTTACTTGTGACTATCTAGAAATGATTAACAGATTCCTTTGTGGTATTTATGCTGATATTTCTGTGAAAAAAACTCCTCTTTGAACAGCACTACACTACAACAAACTAGGCACCTTGTAGTTCACACGAGCAGGGTCGACAAGGAGCAGTTACAGCGCAACATTTTGGTGCACTCTGCAATTCACTCCCACGTAGTCCACAAGCCCTACCATGGTCAGAAACCTCAGTGCCAATTGATTTCGATGGCACCCAGTACCTTGCAGGCACAGACCCCAGGTGTTCCTTCCTTTTGTGATGAGTATCTCTCCTTCACCAGACTCAGATAATGCTGCACACCAACCACAAATGGTGGTGTGTTGTGGGGCAGCATTGCTCTACCCCTTGGACTCCCCCGGGTCCCAATAGCAAAACCTTAATGCACAAGATCATGCTGACCCTGCCACCACTAACTTATTCATTGTCTCTATGTATGGATTAAAGCAGCTTCTCCATGGATTCTGCAGCACAGGCAACTTCATTTAAGCAGGCTTATTGGTATTTTACTATTATTTTTAATCCACCCATTTATAATGGGGTTGCCATTGCTGGCATCATGGCGACAAATAAGACATATATGTCCATTTCTGTGGGTACTAACCTGGCTATCCAGTCCAATCAACAGAAGCATAACAAAGAATAGGATAGCCCAAACAGTAGGCGCCGGCATCATGGTCACAGCTTTTGGGTAGGCAATGAAGGCCAGGCCTGGACCTAGAGGAGGAGAAAGAGAAAATAGGAAGGGGGGGAAAGGGAATGGAGATAGTAAGTACTCAGCTCATGTCTAGAGATAGCTACCCACCAATGCAGGGATGCCTGGTTCCTTTCAGATAAACCCAAACCCAGCTGGAAATACCAGAAGTGAAATTGTTTGGAGCTTTCATCTGACAAAGAAGCACGCATGACTACAGCAGAAACCCCAAGAAAACCCAAAGGCCATCGCTAACCGACCACCAGTTTTAACATCTGTCTCAAACATGCCAGTAATGGATCGCTTCCTGCACCAGCCATTCAGGAGGTGTAACAGGAATGAAGGCAACTGCCCCAGTAGAATAAAGGAATCCTGTTTCTAGCACACATGATCGCTATTTGAGTGGAGGGGGGGGCACAAGAGGGAATCTGCTCCAAATATTCTCCTGAAGCTTCAATGCTGCAGCCAACTCAACCTATCCTTCTGAAAACACAAATCTCTCATACACCTTCCTTCCAGGTTTTGGTTTATGCTCCAATAGCCAAGGTCCTTAACTGCTGTAAACCACCATTGAAATCAATAGCGCTGCCCTTATTTACACCAGCTGTGGATTTGGGCCTATGAGTTCTCAAAAGTGTTCCCTGCTGTTTGGAAATTATACTACTAACGCTGATACTGCTAACACGCCACCATAGTCAGATTCTCCTATACCACTCGGCTTCCTAAGTCGTGCCGTAACAAATCTGGGTCCTGCCAACAATCGTGCACAACTACTAGACCAATTACGCATGCTGTACACACCACAGACCAGGGACTAAAACCTTGGTCCTTCTGCTCCAAAATCACAGGCTTCTAAAACTTAAGCTAAAGGAGCTCCCCCATAGCTAGTAGTAACAGAATGTGCCTTATCTGCTCTGTGGCTCAGCTAATAAAGAGCTGGCTCACTCACACCCACCCACACACAGAGCATCGGCGCACTGCACTTCTATGTTGTTTCTCACAGAAGTTCTCACCTGGTGTCACACAGGTTTCAAATAACACTTAGTTATACATCATGAGAACTTTTGTAAAGTGAGTATGCCATCTCTGATTGGGCAACAGGGGCAGTAGGAATCTGACATCCGCTACTGGTTTAAAAGTGATCTTGTAATTTTTACAGTGTGGGGAAATCTTGCAAGGACAGATTTACATGCACATTAAAATCTGGACTTTTTTTTGGTTTCAAAAGAAGGTGGATTGGAGTGTTGACATCTTCCAGGTTTGGTGAGAAGATTCAAATTAAACTTGTTTTTCAGTAAGGAAGATAAAGTCCGGTAAATCACAGGAGCAGAATTCTCTTGTTTAATCTGCATGGAGAATCGCTACTGACGCTCTTCCTAACTCCCACTTTTCCTTTCCAACAAGAACGATGGAGAAAGGAGCAAGGAAAAGAAAAGATGAGAGCAGGAGGATGCCATTTTTAAATTAAAAGAAAAATTGAAGTAATTTAAATAGAAATAAATACAAATTAGCCAGCAATTGATTGATTAATTTTATTTCATTAATTTTTAAAAAGAAACACGTCTGTGGTTTTATGTGACAGAAAGCGCGCACACACAAAATTGGCTGAGTAGCTAAAATTTCTGGGGTTCTGCTTTTCCCTCAATCCCTGGACATCATGTCTTCTCTCAGTAAAAACTGAATTCCCAGCTATAACTGCTATTAGATTGCATTTGTAGCCAGTCTGTGCAAATGATGAGACAGATGTAAAACTGCTATTTCTCGCTAAAACTCACTAAGGGTATGTCTACACTACCCGCCAGATAGGCGGGCAGCGATCGATCCAGCGGGAATCGATTTATCACATCTAGTGTAGACGTGATAAATCGACCCCCGAGCCCTCTCCCGTCGATTCCTGTACTCCAGCGCCACAAGAGGCGCAAGCAGAGTCAACGGGGGAGCAGCAGCAGTCAATTCACCGTGGTGAAGACACCACGGTAAGTCAATCTAAGTACGTCGACTTCAGCTACATTATTCATGTACCTGAAGTTGCGTAACTTAGATCGATTCCCCCCTCCCCGCCCTAGTGTAGACCAGGGCTGAAAGTGTATGTTTGTGTATGTTAATTTCTGATGACAAGTGCTCTATGGTCTGTGTGTATTTTTCTGTGAAAGCAAATGTTGAACTATAAAGAGAAAAGTCCATGTAAAATACCATAACATTTCTGGCATCCTTTCAGTTTAATGTAAATAATTGAAAACTGCATTTAATATGGAGCGCCGTTCCACTGAATAATTATCCTGTTAAAATGCACTGTGCTTGTGGTTATTGTTAAAAGCTTATTAGAACAGTAATAACCATAGTCTATTTGTTGGCCACTTGCTGATTAAATGAAATATTATGGCTGGAATTGTATCCAGTCAGCAGAGGGAACTGTGGCTGGTAGATTGAAACAATACAAAATATGGAGGCCAAACCTTCTCCATCAGCTGACAGACACGATAGTCAGACCTGGTTAATCTGAATCAGTTTGCAAACGGCGTTAAAACAAAGGAAGTCTTGCAATGGCTTTATCACTAGTACATACTGTACATGCAATATATCTTTCATCCAGCCAGGCACGCAGACAAATCCAGCACAGATTAGCCAGGCCTCACTGTGCTTCCTTTGTTCCCACATTGCATTTCTTAGGGTAAAAAAAAAGCAACAATGCTTTTGGCCTTTTATTTTATGTAATGTAATGGGGAAAATAAAGGAGAAAAATTAACTTTAAAAAAATCAGGCAGTTTGCCAATCTGGGGTGAGGGATGTGGGACGGAGACAGACCAAATTCAACCCTTGTGTAACTCCACTGAAATCAATGAGCCCACTTTGCCCAATGAAAGATAGGAGTAACTCCCATTGTCTTCAGATCTTCACTACTCATATCCTACCAAGGGAGAATTCAGCTCAAGACCTTTACATAAGGGGTGAATTTGGCAGGGGTGTAATTAAGCAACAGAGTGCTGCTGGGGTTCTGCTGTGAGTGAACTAGATTGTGCCCAAATCACAAGAATAATCCACTGAAGTCAATGGAACCACAGGTGTGAGTAAGGCAAGTGGGAGGATACAGAATGGAGGAATCATCTGGTTGCCCAATAAACAGCTTCCTCTGCCAAGCCGCAAAATCAAATTGCAGACGCTCATTGCTCCCTCTCTCTTTTTTCTACCTGGAAGAATAGTCCTGGATTTGCATACTGGCAAAATAAGGGTTAAAAAAAAAAGATGGGGGTGGGAATATATCTGGGGAAAAAATACAAATCTATTTCAATTTCTCTTTGCTGGTAAATGGTTTCAGGTTGCCCGCACTAGAAAATGAAGTCTCCTCTTTGACACAGAACAGGTAGAGTACAGGCAGCAGCAGTACAAGTTTCCCCCACAACTCCGGCCAATGTGCCGCTACCATGAACTGAAGGAACCACCTCTTAGGAATGAGAGGGGTAGAGCACGCTCCCAGGTTTATTCAATTCTTGGCCTCTTGGCTGAGAATGGCAACAAGTATACCAACCGGTACCAGTGTTGATGGCAGTTTATTGTGATTTGGATACCTGTCCATTAGAAATTAGCTTAAAACCACCACATGTATATACTGTGTAATCCACTGAATAGCCATCAGATGGCTACAACTTGTGGCCACCACCACCGTGTGTTGAAATCAAACAAACTAAAATGGTCACCAAAATAAAGGATGGAAGTCCAGTGTCTAAAACTGATCAGTGGTGCCACTTTAAAAATATCAAATATCAGGGACAAAGGTGCCCATTTAGCAATGGATTATGTTTTTTATTTGGGGTCAATTACAGTAAATTTTGAATCTGAATAGAAAAAATGCCAAATATACAAAATTTCTTAGAACTCATCTGAAATAAGTGCTGAGCTGGTTAGGGTGTATTCACCAGGATTATTCCCTTAGTTTGTTCCTGTATGCAAGTAAAGCAGTATCTGATCAAAATGATCTTTATGGGCCAGATCCTCAGTTGATGTAAAATGGCATTTGCTCCGTTGATTTCAAGAGCTATGCTGATTTACACCAACTGAGAATCTAGCAGTGTTCCCAACAGCCGTCATTTCATAATGAGTCTTTGTGATTCTTAAAGATCCAGCTCCAGGAGTCAATGTAATTACAAGAGAATCTCAGCTTTTATTTAAAAAAATAAATAAAAAAGTAAGTTTCTAGTCTTCTTGGTGACAAAAAAATAGCTGAAAAACATGACCCTACAGTGAAAAAGTGAACCCTAAAGGCTGAAAAAATCAGAAGGAAAAGAAAAAGCACCCAAAATGTGCTATTATTCTTTTAAATCTCATGATTTTTAAGCCAATCTCATGATTTTGGGGGCTTGACTGTGATTTTTGAACACTTGGGGTTGGCAATACTGATCTAGCCTGGTATAATTGTTCACCATCATTATGACAGCCTAAACGTACCGCTCCTGCCCACAAGTCCTATGAAGTACGTCCAGGGGAAAGATGTAGTCTACCTTGTTCAGTGTATATTCACAAGCTGGATGTACCCTCTCTCTGATACATGTGTATAGCTGAATGGCAATGGGAATAATTACATGCAAAACAAGGGGAAAATATGTCCCTGTAAACAGTTTAAGAATGGACATTGCACAAAGAGTATCAGCTTCACCTTGGAGCTAGATTCAAATGTATAGAGTTGCAAGAGTTGGTGTCATGGTGGAAGGGATTTTCCAAAGAAGCCTATGGGGTTTAGGTGTCCAACTTCCTTTGCCTTTCAATGGGATTTGGGCGTCCAGTTCCCATATGTCCCATTGGAAGTGCCTGACTTTATTCCTACGGCATCTCTCACCCGCGGGCAATCATACCTACAGTAACAAGAGGGTTGGTGTAGATTTCCAAAATGGATTGACATGTCTGGACTTGAGACAACAATGTGTGTGGTCCTTTTAAATAATCTGAGCTAAACTTTATTAACGTACTTTGGAAAAATGTGTTCAAACTGCCACACTAATCAAGATAAAGTAAGTCCTAGGTTAATCAGCTACCCACTGCTGTTCTAAAAGAAAACCAGACTAACATGCGCATTTAATCATTTTTCTGATGCTTGTGGGAATTCTTTTTTTTTTTTTCTTTTTCTTTTATTTTATTTTGTTTGGCTGATTTAGTCCGCAGTACTTTGCTCACACACTAGGTGGCAGTGCCCACCACCACTGCCACCAATACCATCGTACCTGACTCTGCCACATCAGCAATGTTCACCCCTTGCTCTTGTGCCATGAAGCCCAGGACGGAAAAAATTGCGAAGCCAGACACAAAACTGGTACCACTGTTCAGGCATCCCAGCAGCAAACAGTCCCTAAGTCACACATATGTCATGGAGCAAGTTAATTCAAAAAAAAATTTGAACCCATTGTCCCTACTTATTTACATCATTTAGCTAAGACACTAAACCCCCTTGGTTAGAAACTTGCCTGTAACAGTTGTATTTATACTTGTTGTAGCTTCCCAGGGATGTCATTGCTCCTAAGCAGATTGCATACGAGAAGAAGATTTGTGTCCCGGCATCTATCCAGACCTAAAAGAAAAGATGGAAGAAAGCATCATTAATGTAGGCAATCCCTATAGCAATGTGCATCACAGTCAGTCTGTCATTCAGGCTTTGCAACAACAAAAATTGCTTCCACTGAGACAGATATTGGGGCAAAGGAGGAGAAGAAAGAGAGCATCTCATTTTAAAATGACCACATTGTAGGGGAAAATAAATCATTAGCATCAGAGTCCACTTGAAAACTTCACAGCTCTGTCAGCAATTCAAACATCCCTGCCTGAAAGGTGGTCTATCATTCTACTTTGTCTGCCATTCAACTGATCCTTTCCTTACTGCATAACAATCAATGCTTTCCCAAGAGAATGGACAACACAGAGGCAGCTGTAAAGTCCTGAATACACTTGTATCTGATGCGGTTCAGTTAGAACCAGCCTACAGAGCCACTGGACTGCAAACACGAACACCTTGACTGACACTTTTCCAAATGGCCCCATGCTGCTGCCCCAACCATACCTTTCAACCATCGGTGGCACAAGGACAAACACTGCAGGTGCAGAGGGGACACAAGCATAACACAATGCATTTCTTTAACATCAATAACACCGTTACTAACCTCAGTTCATGACGCATCATCCTGATGGTATTAGTACAATAACATGCAATATATAGTATCATTACAGTGAGAAACTCCGGCTTCATACATTTGTGGTAACCCCTCCATCTATTCCTGACCATTCACGGCCATGTACTTCTCTCTACTAATACGGGGAATCATCCAGGAGGTCTGAATGGGGGGAAAGGAGCAGCTTTGCAGCATAGCTCTCCTACCATTGTCAGCATCATCCACCTGAAAATACCACAGGGATTTCCTGGTGAAAGAAGATGAGCCTTTTCAATGGGGAGTCCATGATAGCTTAACTCTGGAGGGAGCTATGCCATCATGGAAGAGGGGGTCTGGGAGTTAAACAGAATCTGAATCTTTCCTGTGTTGTCAGTCATCACATCTTAGGGCATGAAACTTACAGCTAATAACTCATAACAATTACATGCTACCAGGGAAGGAGGTAGATGCATGTCTGAATGGCTGGTGTAATGAAGGCAAGATCACAGAGACTGCCACATTTGGCTAAGTTTCTTTCAAGGACGCTTTACCTGCTTACTTACAGGGCCCAAATCCTCTTGGTATTTTGACTTTTTACTAGATAATCGTTAGAAAAGGAACAACAGAGAAAGGCATTTTCACCCTATCATGCCTACGGCCAGCGCTTTAAAAAAAATCACTGTTATCATTTGGATTTGTTTTTTGCTATTGGTTAGAGAGTTTTGCATTTCCCATGTGATCACTGTTGGCCAAAGAGCTAGTGGTTAGACTTTCACACATTGCTACACCAGTACCATGGAAATGAATAGTCTTTTCCTTTTCCAGTTGTAGCTTGTAGAGAAAAAAAAAACGCAACTCCTCCTACCCAGTGCTAAGCAGTCGTCTTCTGTGCATTCTCTCATATGTTTGCATGAGAAAACAGATTTCTCACGTGTTTGCAATGGTTTTCATTTTTCCACTACTCTGTTCACTTCTTTCCCCGATGTCCTGCTCCTGAGAGGTGGTGGCAGAGTGAAACAGATACTCACAATTGCTCCTTGGTGTGCCATCTGCCACGCTCATATTTCTCTCCTTTCTTTCGATTCCCTTCGAAACTAAAAACTATCCTCCTAAAAAAAAATGTATCTCCCTTACCTTGTCCAGAGCCTAATACCAACAAGAAAGCTGAGATTCTATAACTGGACAGAGTCTACAGCCTCAGAGCCCTTTGACACAAAAATACACACATGGAAAGATGCATTAACACATTTAACAATGACCTTTTCAACCAGATACAATGGAAAAATACAACCCAGTTTTAATGTCCATGCTATATTTGGATTGATAAAGATCATGGAAAAAAATCTCCTGTTGTTGCACCACCACCCACCTCTAAATGTCCCTCTTGTTTCAGAGCATGGGAAGTCTCCCTGCTCCTACTTAGTGGTCCCATACCTGTGGATCTGCTAACCGTGATACATCAGGGTAAAGGTAAAATTTGATGCCCTCTGCAGCTCCAGGCAGGGTGACACCACGGATTAACAGCACAATAAGCATGACGAATGGGAATGTAGCGGTGAAGTACACAACCTGCCAAAACAAAGTGACAATATGTATAGTCCTTGACAATTAGTTTAGAAACAAAATATATAACTGGTGTCCTTTCAACCCACAACCAAAACTGATGGAGACCCAGGGATCTGAATTCAAATCCGCCTGGCATTTCATGAGGCTCAGATTTGAGTTTCTGGTTGTTTAAGCACATTTTTAGTTAATCCTCTCTTCCACTCTCAACTGTCCTCTTGGCTTGTAGCGTTCAACTGGTGCCTTAAGTTCCTCCAACCTTCAGTCTATGCAAAGGTAACAGTCTGGTCTGATTTGTCTCCAGGAGATACTGTCTGCATCTCCAGGCAAAGATGATGCTGGAACAGGGTGGTCTGCCCCTTTAAGGACCATAGGGCCTGAAGCGGCTTGCTCTGTTTGGAGACAGTGCTTGTCTTTAGAGGAGCTGTTCCTGCCTGGGAGAGGGGCTTGTCCGACCCAGCTGGGAAGTGATTCCTATAAAAGGGCTGAAAAAGTACTGTTGAGGGAAGGAGCTGCAGGAAGCATGGTGGGCCCTGGAGCAAGACCTGGAGAGGCAAGGGGAAAGGCCTCTGAACCCTGGAAGCAGGCTGTGGTCAGGGGAATAGCTTTGTTTTGATGTTAATGAGTTATCTGTCTGAAGAATAAGCTATGCCCTGAAGGAAGGGCCTGAACACATTTGGGTGAGCATTGGTCCTGCCGGCCAGCAGCCTACAGCTGCAAAGGCCTTTTCTGCTGACTGTTCACACTAGTCACAAATTTCTCTTTGCCCCCTGCCACCTTCTCTTATCACAGGCTCACCTTTGGCAGTGAAGAGTAACAGCCTCCACTGCAAAGGGTCACTAGTGGGTTATGTCAAGCTTCTTTTGAACCTTCCAGCGGAGGATCTCCAAGTATTTAACAAAAATAAGTGAATTTAGCTATCTTGTAAGGCAGGTAAGAATTATTTTTCAGCTAGGCATGCCGTGGCCTAGAGAGACTAAGAGACTTACCCAAGGTCTCTCAGTCAGCAGAGCAGAACCAGGAAATGAACTTCCCAGATACCTGCTCCAACCACTCCCCTAACCCATTGCCTCTGACAGGTTCTGGAGAGCAATTAAAGCATTTTCTACCTATTCATCCATCTACTGGGAGCCTGAATGTATGAAAGGTGTCACAGGCACGGGAACTAGGGATGCAGGGCGTGCTGCAGCACCCCCAGGTTTTATGCAGGATCCTGGCTACCGGCCCCGCGTCCAGGGTCCTGGCTGCCGCTCCCCTCCCCAGCTCTGGGGTCCCAGCTGTCGGCCCCACGCCCGGAGTTGAATCTCCTATACTGCTATGCACTGTGCTATTGCTAATCTATCAGGCCAATATACACGTCTCTCTCATGATACAGGTGTTGCCATGTACCTTGCTAACAGGGAGGCAGCTTAGCTATACACAAGGTTACATGCAGGGACCAGTGAAGTCCAGGAGCACTGAAGGCTTTGCAGGCTTGTTCTGTCTGAGAATACTGCTATCATCTGTGTGGATTTTAAAGGCACTTCTCAGAAATAAAAAGGAATCCAGCTGGAAGGCTTTGGCAATGCATTGGGTCAGTGAAAGAGCTGGAGACTTGAGTTTCATCCGTGACCCAGGCCACAGTGCAAATGAGATTTGGCAGGCTCCCCCTATGAGAAACAAACCAGTCCTCATTTTGGTATGAATGGCAGTGTCTGCTCAAGAGAGTTGCTGGACTAGAACAGAAGGGGTTGCTGCAGGCTGGGATTGAGGTATATTATCCCCCGCGAAGGCTCCGTACTGGAGTGCGCTGCTTAGCACTCAGAACCTTTGTATGGCTCAAGCCGATACTATACTCTTCATTGCAAGCATTAAATCCACTTACAATTTTTCAAAGGTGATTTTAAAAAAAAAAACTAAATAAGAGAGTCCCCTTCTCCAAGAGATGCCTACGCCCTCCTTGCCCATTTGCAGCTATAAACATCTCCAGCTCAGAGCAATAACCAGCAGAATCCTGGAGAGACAGAGTGTGATACAATCATTGAGAACTAAAGACTGAATCACCCAAACCTTGTGGGCACTATCTTCAGAACATAAGGCCGAGGGCTTGCCTAGAGGGGGGAAGCTGACTGGCATAGCTTTCCCATAATAACCCCCATTCTGCCCGGTTCTAAAATAAAAGGGACTTTATTCCATAATTACTCTGCTTTGTGAATGGAGTAATTATTCCCGAATAAAATCACTTTTATGCTAAAATAATGTGTCCACACAGGGAGCTATTCAGGAATAGCTATTACAGAACAGTTATTTCAGAATAGCTATGCTGATCAATTTCCCTGGGCAGACAAGCACTAACACTCTATTGCAGGCAATCTCTGCCTTCCAAAAAGGATTGGTTTCTTCCTTTTTTTAAATGGAGTCAGATGTTTCTGCCAGGTAATTACAGCTCTGCTGCCTTATTTAAAATACATTTTTGTTTTTCGAAATTTAGTTTAATCAGGGAAAAGCTCCTGCGATGCATCCACTTGTCTTTTAAGTGTGTCCTAGGAGAGTAACCAGGAGAAATCAAAGCTGGCATTGATATAACAACTCAGGTAGCCAGACTGATAAAATTCAAAGAAAACCGTTTCATGCATATGGTTTTCTTCCTTTTCCTCTTGGAACTCAGTAATATTTTTCATTGATAAATAATATGGATTATACATTAGCCTAGTTTCATCTAAAAACTTTCAAAAAGTTATTTACTTTTTGTCCTGTATGATCCCTTTTTATATAATCTTGACCCATAAAAATCCCTGCTCTCTTATAACAAGGCTGTGTCTGCATTCACAGGAACTCACTGTTACACAATGGACTTCCCCCTTGCGGGGCAGGAAATCCCCTACATGACTGAAGGAATTTTTAGGCTCCAGCACTCTATACAAAATGTCCCCAAAACACTGGGCTATTATTTTTCGTGACTGTTTCTTTTGTTCAATATATTGCAACAAGATTTTTAAAAAAGATTATTTTTTCCCCTTCAGGAAGTTATTCGTACATTGGAAAGCAGTTAAGTATGTAAAAAATTATCTATAAAATTAAACTATGGGCTAATCACTCATCCAATTACTCCAGGCCTACATTAGAGTTCTTCAGTTTGCTTTGGCCTGATCCAAAGCCAATGAAGTCAATGGGAATCTTTCCACTGACTTCAATGGGAGTCTTTCCATAGCCTTCAATGGACTTTTGACCAGGCCCTGTGTCCTCAAAACACAATGGAGGGACAGATAGTAAATTCTGATTAAGGTCTGAGATACCCCTAATTTCCAGAAAAACCTGTTGGTTATTTGATATTTTTTAACCGTTCCTTTTTGCTTTTTTAAAAAGGCTCAGCGTTAATTCCCTGGCACAGAAATACAAGGGCAGAGGGAACATTTCAGAGTCCAGACTTGCATTTGTTGTGCACTGCATACTCCATCTCAAGTCTATGGGAGTTTGGGATGCACAAGAAAACATACCCACCAAATAGATATTCAGCAGTTGAGTTATGCATTGAAAAACCTGTGCAAGTTCCCAGCAAACCTCTGACTTTTTCAAGTCACTGCAGCCCTTTGACCGTCTCAGACTAGCATACACTCTCGCTGATTTTGATTATGCTGGTGCATTATAGCAAGGGTTTGTTTTTTGTACACAATAAGCAGCTTGGAAAATCTTTTGGTGCTGTCTGAACTGTGGTGTGACTCCAACAGCCATCACGATCGCAAAAGGTACTCAGGAAGTGTTTGTTTCCATTCTACTATTGCTGGGGAGATTACTATGCTCGCTTTCATTATGACCCTTGACAACCCAACTCAACAGGTCATGCCAAACAGTGACAATAGAGAATACAACCATCTTCGGTCAGCACAGATTTAGAGGTGTGGAAGCTGCTCTTTGGACCTAAAACTGGCAGGAGACCAGAAGAATAAGGCACCATGTTTTTAATGAGGCCCTACGATAAAGTCAAAGGGAGAGAGAAATGATGGTACAGAACCACTACCATATATTTAAAGAGGCAATAAATACCAGGCATCGCCTCGTTAATTGACAGTGTGGAAACTTCTGTACTTTGTTCCTTGCACACTATTGGAATGGAATGAGGTTCAGATGCTGTCTAATTATTACCATACGGAATGGCGTGGTTTTGGAGAGTGCAGTGGTAAAGGTGTGGGGGAGGGGAGGAACCACAGATGGGTCCCAGTCAACAAAAACCTCGGAGCACCCAAGGGAGTCTGTGAATGTTTAACTACTGTGGCCTTCAGCAGGCATCTAAAATATAGAGTGTAGATATCAAGGTTGTTGAACTTAGCCCTGAGCTCAATCCACCTAATAGAAAACTTCAGAGAGGAAGGTAGACCCTGCAGTGAGAGGCACACTAGAAATGACTGAATAAACAGTGAATAGATCTGAGTGTCAGAGTAGCCCTTGGACAATGACCCTGGCAAAGAAGACGGTGCTGCTGTTTTAGGACGAGCGTTTTCATTAAATAAATGAGTGCTTAAAGTTAGGCTCCTAAATCTGTCCTTGGGCATCTAAATAAGTGGGCAGATTTTCCAAAACGGCTAAGCATCCAGCAGTTCCCAGTGACTTCAGTTTATCCCCACTGTGGATCCACTGATTCCAGTGGCACTGCAGCAGAATTGAAAGTGGCTCTGTGGATGACATGTCATAGAAGCACACCGTGGTGTAACTATTATTATTATGTGGGAAGAGGCAAGTAGTGTACCACTCAGTAAAGCCTGAGGCACCCTCACCAGTACAGGTAGCACTGGCTAGGTTCCATTGTCTTAAATGGCGCTATTTAAACGGCTTCCTGAGTCGTCTTTATGATTCATGATGCTATTCCATTAACATCCGCTTGGTTCAGAGGGATTCTGTACTATGGCACTGGCCACTGCCCTCCAACACCAGTCAAGTCCATCTCTTACTCAGTGTGAAAATACATTTTTCGCATGGAAGCTGTCACTATTTATTGACAAAAGACACAGCCTATTATTCACTGGACTGCTGACTTTTCTAAGGGAGTGATTGTAAAGGGGCAAAGAGAGCACTTACTTTCCCAGTAGACTTGACGCCTTTCCAAATGCAGAAGAAACATATCACCCAGACAAAGAGAAGACACAGTGCCAGATCCCACTTGACAACACCGACATCTTCAATCCCCGTAGACAGGCTCAGTACGTTGCGCCTTAATGCGTGAAAGGAAAAGAAGCAAGACAAAGATGCAACAAAGCAGTTAGTCAGAAGTTTTCTTATAAGCTCTGCAAGTTTACACACATTACTTATGGCAATGACTGGACTGGCTGCACTTTAAAATTGCAATCTTATGAACATGTACTTGCCTAACTCAGCATTACTCATATAAGTAAAGGTTTGCAGGATTAAGCCCTAGGTATGTCTGCTGTCTGTAGGATTCTTCTGACCAACATACTATACAGCATCTTGACCAAGGCTCCTTTTGGAAGCTAATGATCACATAAGTATGTTGCAAGTGTTGAAGTTATTTGCTATAATTGTTCTTCATGGAGATGGAAGCCAGACCTCTACTGCAGTGGTTCTCAAAGCCGGTCCGCCGCTTGTTCAGGGAAAGCCCCTGGCGGGCCGGGCCGGCTTGTTTACCTGCCGCGTCTGGAGGTTCGGCCGATCGCGGCTCCCACTGGCCGCGGTTTGCCACGCCAAGCCAATGGGGGACTGCAGGAAGCGGTGGCCAGCACATCTCTCGGCCCGCGCCGCTTCCCGCAGCCCCCATTGGCCTGGAGTGGCAAACCGCGGCCAGTGGGAGCCACGATCGTCCGAACCTGCGGATGCGGCAGGTAAACAAACCGGCCCGGCCCGTGAGGGGCTTTCCCTGAACAAGCGGTGACCGGCTGTGAGAATCACTGCTCTACTGGCATCTCTATCAAAACAGCCTTGAAGCCACAGTGTACTTGTATGTCAATATCACCCATAATGTCTGAAACACACTTATTCAAAAAGGCCACAATACATCAGTGTTTTCTTTTCAGTCTGTTACCGTGACTATCATTATAGGGATCAGAGACAACAGTGTGTCAAGTTAACACATTAAGGAGTTTGGTTTGCAGTGCAGAGCCTGGATTTGTTACAATTTCTGTTACCCTTTCCATTTATCTTGGCTTAGTGCATGCAACCATTACCGATGAGTGCCAAAGGTAGTCAATGTCATCACAAGTAGGTCCTTGTTTAGTTGACCAAAGATATTTGGTAAACTTTATTTAGTTATTCAACTTAGAAAATAAACACAGATTTCTACTGGGGAGGCAAAAACATGAGCATCAGAATAGCTAGGTTCATAAAAACAACTTTTTATTAACTTCTTTCTTTTGTCAATTTCCATAAGAACAAATATTGAAATAAAACTACTTCCTTTCCTTTCTCTGGCAATGTACACGCTCCAAGTGGCATGTTTGTCACTTTCTCTACCATGAACAGGCTGTGTCACACTTTTCCTCATTGCCTGCAATAAACGACCAAATCCTACTACGGTAATTCCTTACTTAGGCAAAACTCTGCTGAAATCACTGGGACAAATCCTGAACTCCTCGTCATGCAAGACTTTTCGCTGTAGTCAATGAAAGTTTTGGCTGTATTGGAACTGCAGGACATTGTCCACAGTCTAATTTGTTCAATGAAAGAATGCCGCTGAGTTTTGTTTTTTGCCCAACGATGAAAGTCAGCAGCCACCCCTTAGCCACTATCGGGAGTGCAAGGGGCACAGCAGGTCAATGTGTCTGCACACGCCGATGAGGTACACAAGTTTAGGTAACAGATTTTTGTCAGGATAAAAACATTTACCAAACCCTGCAAGGTCATAGCAATCTGATGCACCAAGCTTCACCCCCACCCCCACCCGGGTCTATCAAGCTTTTTTGTTCCCCCTGGAAAAAACAATAACAATAAATAAAACCAGTGACCTAAAAGTGCTATAAATTTTTGATAATAAAGAGAAACTGACCATTTAGAAGGCCCAAAATGGTTGCCTTTTTTTAATATTAGCTTGCAAATTTGTTACGATAATTTGAGCGTGTGTGTGTGTGTGTGTTCTCAGAACTAAATGCTTTACATTTTTTAAACATTTTTTGAGTGTATTTGGTGCTGTGGAAAAAGACTAATGGAACTCACTAGAACAGACGCTCCCCAAACAGTGTAGCTACTCAGTAATTAGGAGCAACCCTATGATAACAAACAATTGTATAATTCTGCAGTCCTTGCTCATATGAGTGAGTCCTTACTCACTGGAATCAGCAGCAGCAAGATCAGGCCTGGCGTGTGTATGTGGGAGAAGAAAATGAAGAATTTGCAAGGAGACCAACGTTCAGTTTCAAGCTCCCATGGGGTTTTTTTAATAAAGCCCAACTTTCTAAGCTGAAAGGCAGTTTGGAAGAACATGCTAATAAGCAGCCAACATGGCTTGGGGCAAGAAAACACTGAATAGCCTTTTTCCTTTCGGAAACTGGAGATCTGTGAATGTATGTGGCTAAGACTGTATGTGGCATGTTTCATGAACCACTCTTTGTTTTTCTCTTATAGATTTAAAAGCAGATGACCACCTTACCTAGAATGTGACCCAGGATTCTGGGCTCACATTCTATGGAAGAGAACAGAATCTGCTAGGAGCCAGGTAGGTTTCTCTTTTATATAGGACTAGTAAAGTGCACTGTTTGATGTGCTCCCTTGCTGTCTTCAGCCATCCTCCCCTGCAAAGGATGAATACCTCAAGGAGCCAGTTCAGCACACACCACTACAGTGTCTGCATTAGGTTATGTCGGGCAACCAAAACCAACATATTTCTGTAGCAGAAACACATCAGTCTGCATCTGTAACATCTTTATAATTTCATTCCTAGGTGGAGTAAGAACTGTATTGCACAATAGCTTTGGTGATATGGACAAACTTCCATTACTCCCTCCGTTACCAAGCCTGCATGATGTGTTCTGTTGTATATATATATATTCCGTGGGACAAATATCAAACATGTATTCTTGGGCTTTTTTTCATAGAGCCAGTATGGACTAATAACACGGAGAATGTAAAAACAGGAGTTGTAACTGGTTCCAGAATATGCACAAAAATAGAAAGAGCGGAGTTAGGCAATCCTTGAAGGGTGTCCCATGTCAATTAATCACATGAATGCGGTCAGGACCTTTCACACCAAGAGAGAGGAAGTGCTTTTTAACATAGACTGAGCAATAACAACTAGTACTATAATCAGGTGTACAAGCAATTCACTAAAGGGAATGCTATGAAAGAAGCAATTTCGTAAATCTTATTTGCCTCCAAGGGCACATAAGACTAAGTCGGATTTTGTTTAGTTTTATTTTGCTTTCCTCGGGGTTACATGCCAGGAACATGTGACAGGCTTTCTTGGATTTGGATGAACAAGGTCTGCTGATTACCAGCCATTTATAAACATTTGGTCAGCATCAGACAATCAGAGCTCTTGTTTAATGGGAGCTGTCCCATAATTCTCACCCCTTTCGCATTACTGCATTTGTAAGACTTTAAAATTCAGAACGTTAAAAGAAAATCTGAAGAAATAAGATCTAAAGCACATGATAGCAAGATGTAAGTCTCCTGAGATAAAGCCAGATTTGCTTAACCCCTTTTACTGCTGCTCAAGTAAGCATGTGATTTGCACAGAATGTTAATTCAGATGAACTGAAATGTCAGGCTCTACTGTATGTCCAGCAGGACAGGGAAGGGGCACATGTCATACAGCATGAAGAGGCTAATGTATCAGTGAGGCCAATTATATCAGTGTGGTGTCAGCTTTACCACACACTAGTGATGAAGATAACCACATCCGTTTCCCAGATTGAAAAGGGCATTTAGTTTCAGAAACAAAAAATTAAATAAGTATTAACTGTATCACAAAACAGTGTGGATTCCTTCAATCAGGGGATAATAGCCTCTTCTCCAAGCACTGTGGGCTTTTTGTATGACTGTTAATGCTTGAGCACTGAGTGGCAAATATAAATGTCTCGTAGGTGACAAGTTTCCTAGCTGACTGGCTCCTAAGGAAAAGGGCTTTATTTTCAGAATCACGTATTGCATGTGCAACTAGCATTTGCACACACTTTGGGGCCACGCGGCTGCTAGACTCTGCATGTGTAAAATACATCACTTCCATGTGTTAAGGCTGAAAAAGTGTGTATATGGGGGGGCATGGAGTTCCACAAGGGGAAGCGTTGTTGAAGTCCCAATAAAACTCAGGTCCAAAAAGTCCACCAAGACCAGTAAGATTGACAACACAAATTATTGTTAACTGGCCACAGGTTATGTTATTGTGCTTCTTGAGAGAAGTCTGTGTCTACCCTCCTTCATTCAGACATGACTAGGTCATTCTTACAGTTGTGGGTCTGCAGGGTCTCAATGATGGGATATTTAAGATCGAGGCAATAACACAAGCTTTTAAAAATAAAAATGATAAGGGCCGATGATCTTATTCCGAAGGATGAGTGAAGTTTGGCAGGTAGAGTAACACGATGGTATTCCTCGGTCTTCCAGGGTAAAACTCTTCCTGGGCATTGGGGTCCTCCCAGCCTATTCAGATAGCTGACTAAGGCTAGGTCTACACTGGGGGGGGGGATCGATTTAAGATATGCAAATTCAGCTACGTGAATAGCGTAGCTGAATTCGACGTATCCGAGCCAACTTACCCCGCTGTGAGGACGGCGGCAAATCGACCGCCGCGGCTCCCCTGTCGACGGCGCTTACTCCTACCTGCGCTGGTGGAGTACGCGTGTCGATTCGGGGATTGATTGTCGCGTCCCGACGAGATGCGATAATTCAATCCCCGAGAGATCGATTTCTACCCGCCGATCTAGGCGGGTAGTGAAGACAAGCTCTAACAGTGGTAGCATTGCCTCTGAAGGCAGAATATCTGGCAGCAGGTATATTTTTACCTGAGAAACCTAGCTGGTTTGTACCATTGCCTTTTATCAAAGGCTTTAGGGAGCTGGGGGCGAATGGAGATTAAAAATAATGTACTGTATAAAGTCTGGCCTGGCCTTAGATATGGTATATTGAAAGTTGCCCATTAACACTTTAACTCTTTAATAGGATACTGAGCTGGCTAGCCATTGGGCTGACTCAATACGGCTATTCTTATGTTCTTATGTAAAAGTGAGACAGCATAAGCTTAACAGAGCTGAGGAAGATAGAGGTAAGGAGAAGGCAGTGTACAAGATACAGGGAGTCCTTCTTCATGCTTAGATGTGTGCAAGACCTCTTTAGTCTGATTTGTTATCCACATTAGAAGATTGCTTTTTGTCCTGTTCCAGTTGGTCTTTGACTTCTTGATGTGGAATGTCTGTCTAGTAAAACATTTCAACTCCCCATATCTTTAGAGGGACCAGTCCACCACCCAGGAAATCAGAACTGGGAAAGTAACTGTCACGTAGCACAGACACTTAGTGCTAATAACACACTGAAAAAATTGGTAATACAGGATGCACTCTGTCAGTTACACCAATCATCTGATGGTCCAAGACCTACTCTACATTACTGGCTCATCTTCAGCTCTTGGGTTACAAGTTTCAGTACAGTTCCTAGGATTCTTTTTCCAAACTTAACACCTGCCAAATATTTGCAGTGTGGATGTCATTTCTGATGCGGCAACTAGCTTACGTTTATTTATAAAATACAGAAGGGTGTTCAAGTTGATTCAAGGAGTCAAACTGGAATTTAAGTGGCCTGAAGAAGTCAACCTGGGATCGAAGCAAATGCTACACTTAATAATAAACCAGCAGGGCAAGCCAAGCAAGTACATAATCTCTGAATCTGCTCATGGGGGTCTTACATCACACAGATCTTCTTTGTATTCCCTTTTATTCTGCAAATTTTTGATGCCTGTGCAAATACACTGTTTGCAGAGGTGCCTCTCCATTCAGAAATCAGATTGTGCAAAACAGAATTTATAATGTGAAACGCAGGAGAAACTGTGACAAGAAGCTTCAGCCTGATAAACTCCAGGCATCTGGGAAAAGCAAGATCTTCTTCAAGATTACACAGTAGGCTGGTGCAAGACAAATGATCACAGAAAAGTACAATAACGGGCAGTGTTTAATATCTCTGCCAGTTTTCTTTGCCACGTTAATGACTGGCATCTTCGCCAGGTTAGTAAGTGATTTGTTATACATTTAGAAAGTGTATTAACAAGGAAGGGAGGGGGAAAGGCAACAACAGCTGTGCTCACAAAACCATAATTAATGGTCTGTCATTGTTTCCATTGTAAACCCCTATTCTCAAGGTACTTGTAAATGAAATGTTCCAAACTGATGTTTGATGCAGAGAATCACAACCCAGAGATGAATGGGTATTTTTCACAATAGAAAACAAAATCAAAATCCTTTCAAACCAAGACAGGTTTTGGGAGACTTGCTGTACTCGATTGGGTGAACCTATGCATTTATATACACTACATATGACTATCTTTTGGCCCAGATACTCAATGGTATTTAGGCATCTAAATTAGGTGCCTAAATACCTTTGCAGATCTGGGCCTTTGTGCCTCCTTTCCCATTCCTACACCCTTCAATGAAAAAGAAGAGGTTTAATGTAATATTTAGAAGTTCACTTCTCTCCAGAAGCAAAGAAAATCACAATTAAATGTACCAAGTATCAGAGGGATAGCCAAGTTAGTCTGTATCCACAAAAACAACGAGGAGTCCGGTGGCACCTTAAAGACTAACAGATTTATTAGGGCATAAGCTTTCATGGAAAAAAACCCCACTTCTTCAGACTCCTCATTGTTTTTACAATTTAGGGTACATCTACACTACCCACCAGATCAGCAGGTAGTGATCGATCTATCGGGGATTGATTTATTGCGTCTAGTGTAGACGTGATTCGGGGATTGATTTATTGCGTCTAGTGTAGACGCGATAAATCAATCCCCGATCGCTCTGCCGTCGACTCCTGTACTCCACCGCGGCGAGAGGAGGAAGTAGCATCGACGGGGGAGCGGTGGCAGTTGACCCCGCGCCGTGAGGACACGAGGTAAGTCGACCTAAGATACATTGACTTCAGCTACGCTATTCTTATAGCTGAAGTTATGTATCTTAGGTCAATCCCCCCCCAGTGTAGACCAGGCCTAAATGTATGATTGAAAACCCAGGCTATTCATTATCCATTAACTCTGATCATCGTTATTTGTTTTTGCAAGGATCTGAGAAGACTGAGCTATCTCCTATGCCATAGGTCAAATTCAATGGATTTAGTGAAATTCATGGCATTGCAGCCCTTACAGTAGGTCTGAATTTACCCTCATGTGTGCAGCAATACCCAAGTACCACAAGAATTAAGACAATACTGTTAGCACAAGCTTTCGCTTGCTTTTGTGGGTTCAAGTCAGATCCTTAACGTTACTTTAAAAGTAGTTTTCTGAGGCGGGATTTTTGTTTTGAGGTTGGGTAAGGCTAAAATCTCAGAAGCTAGAACAGTTGGGTCTTGTTAGTACTTGGATGGGACAACACTACGGACTGGCCAGGATCAGTGCTGCACGTAGCGTTTGGCATTAAGAAGGTAGGGTGACCAGATAACAAGTGTGAAAAATGGGGACAGGGGTTGGGGGGTAATAGGCGCCTATATAAGAAAAAGTCCCTAATACGGGGACTGTCCCTATAAAATCGGGACATCTGGTCACCCTATAAGAAGGTGACACTATGGCCTTATCTATGCTTGAGTATAGCCCTGATTCAGCACCCTGGCTTGCTGTTGTCTAAGCTTTGGGGTCAGCACCAGTGCACCTTCTCTAATTGCTGGCCACCAATTATTCAATCAGGCTATAGGCAAGGCCTCCAACCTAGATCTATTCATTTTCCCTTACCTAAAATTCCCCATGGAGTTTCAATAGAAGAAGATATTTGCATTTATGATTTCTGTCCTTTAAATAAAGTGCTCTAAAAAATAATAATGCATGTTCTTACTCCCAAAACTCTGTGACGGGCGAAGTGAAGTTCGTAATGTTCAGTGACAACCAGAGTGTTTTGTTCTTCCTGAGAGTGTCTTCCACGCAAGTAGGTGTGTTCCACTTCTGACCACAAAGCGACCAAGGTAGGACGCTCTGAAATGACTGGAACAGATAGTACACTCCCCAAGCCAGGATGACGATGTAGTACACATTCAGAAGGGACACAATCACTATGGAAGCATAACCGATTCCTAATACAAAATAAATAAATAAAACACATACATAATGGTCACTTATCATTCCAACACTATGAAATCTCAGACATTTAAAGTTATTTTTTAATACTCTGTGGATTTAAATCCTGGTGTAGGATATACCACTATTGGAAACTGAATCCCATTAAACAGCACACGCAACTAAAGCATAACCAAGCTACTGTCACTGATTGTCACTAGCACCAGTGGTTGCAGCGGTATTAATGAGATCCTTGGGCAGAAGGTTCAGTGTGTGTGCAAAATAAGACGAGTGTTTAAAAATTCCAAAGCGAGCGAAGTGAAAGCCATAGTCTATGCACCCATTTCTCTTTTGCAAAGAAAGTATGCTATTTGTGCTTGTTATTGCTAATAAGATCAATGTTTAACTCTGCTATCAATACTTGACAATAAAAAATGTCCCTTGTTTGTTTTTAAACACAGGGTCATGGGCAGATAAGGCCACGTCCTCCACAACTTAAAATGGCAATCAAGGAGGTGATGGAATGCAGCTCTGGCAGAATTAAATTCCGAAACTATTCAGTGGGTCTGACTCCTCTCACACCGCTGTAATCTCATTGGCATTACTTCTGATTTGTACCTCTGTGTCAGAGGAGAACCAGTCTCTTTATTTAAAGTAAGAAACAAAAGGCCTGCATACAGATCCTTCTTCTGATACCTTTTGACCACTAGTATTTAGAATCTTGAAGGGCTTTCTGAAGCTAATGTTCCATTTAGGAATGGGAGCGAGAAAAACTGTTTTCCCAGCAAAGACTTACAATAGTTTGTAAAATTAATTAATTAATTTATTTATTACATGAAATAAATAGGTTTATATGAAAGGTGCTTACTGATACACTGTGTCAACACCTGGCAGATCTGCCTTATATTGCACAGCCTTAAGCCATATTGCAATGTGATTCTCCACAGCCAAGAATTTTGTGCTGAGTGCAACCCCCTCTGCCGCCCCCCCACATAGAGTGTACTATCTATTCTACAGTTCAGTCAGAACATTCACTTAGCCATATTATTAGACCCATAAATTTCCTTTTCCAGGGATACCAAGGTGATTTTTATTTAAACCAAGAGCATTCCTTCTCCCCCCACCCCATGGCCTAGTGAGAGGAGGGGGAGAAAAGAAAGGGGTGTAAATCAGGATAATTCCACTGACTTCAGTATAACAGTTGAGAATTTGGCCCATTGGATACAATCTTACTTACTTAGGTAGTTCCATTCATTTCAAGGAGTAAGATACTGCTCAGGATCAGTAAGGGTGGCAGAATCAAGGCCTAAATCAATTTAAGGTGCCCATTCCCACTTAAATTTTGAAAAGGAAAGTAGTGCATCTTTATCTTAGGAGGAGAGGGATAGCTCAGTGGTTTGAGCATTAGCATACTAAACTCAGGGTTGTGAGTTTAATCCTTGAGGGGGTCACTTAGGGATCTGGGGCAAAATCAGTACTTGGTCCTGCTAGTGAAGGCAGGGGGCTAGACTCAACAACCTTTCAGCATCCCTTCCAGCTCTATGAGATAGGTGTATATATCCAGTGTAATCACTCATAATTAATGGGGGTTAATTCTAACAAATCAGTTCATTTCCCAGTGTCTCTCTGAAGCCAGTCAATGTGTGGGATGCAGTTAGGGATTCTAAAGGATTTTGGTAACCTGCTTTTAATTTTATATTCCCATTAAATTTCAGAGTGGCATTAGCACAATTCTTGTGAACGGCATGTGTTTCTTCATTTGTTGGCAAATGCCCTTTAATAATAATATGGAGCAATCAGAGTTGTTTTTCACAGTCGGATCTAATTATTGCAAAAGCTCTATGCCTGAATCTTTCCTCAGAAAGCCATTCAAATTCCCGCTGTGCATGTAAATATAACTGTGATGCCAGGTTTTGCATGGCAAAAAGAGTTTGGTTTCCAGTCCAGGATAATATTTGGAAAGGCACTTTCGCAAAAGGATATGAGACTATGGAAAAGATTCTGATCCCCTAGTATTTCAAGGGAACACTGCCTTCTCCAACGCTCGTCAACACAATGTGAAACGCCCTCTCTCTTTCTCACAGATTGCACAGCCTCTTGCTGCGAGCCTATTTAGTGCACAACATGCAACTTCTTTCTTATTTATTGGCACTTCTCTCAGTTAACAAGACGACAGCAACAAAAATTAATACTATGATTTCTCCTTTATACTCTCAGACGTCTACCTTTCCAGGAACCAATATCATATAGTCAGCTACTACAACAAATAGCAGCTGTGAGGGACATGAAGGGCATATACTTGCCCCCTGTTTTTTAAGCAATAAACCACATCAAGGGTGTACCTTAGAGACCTGATCCAAAGACCACTGAAATCAATGGGAGTCCCTTTCTAGGATCAGGCCCTAATATCTGAGGATTTAAGTGTAGCTTAAGTGGTGTATATGCCTCGTGGTGGCCCTCTGCCCAGGGGTGAACTTCCCCCATAGTTTATTCAGTGCTTCAGCAAAGCACTTAAACACATTCACGGTGCTAAGCACCTGAGTAATCCCATCCTTATGTAGCAAGGCAGTTCAATTTATGTATAAACCCCGCAGTAGCAATGTTAGGCACGTGTTTAAGGGCTTTGATGAACCAGGGCCTTGGTGTTGGAAAAATGGGAGGCGAAGGCATTCTGCACTTTGCAGGACTGGTTGCCGAAATGGAAATTACCCATTAATAACACCTTCTGCCATCAGCACAGCTGTTTTGAAAATTTCCAAGTAACATGTCATTAAATTCATTAACTGTGTCTTGTGTCGTGATATGGCAGGAAAATAACTAACCAGTGAAAATAGGGCAGATCTTTTCCCAGCATGTAATTCCTCCTTCAGAGGTATATTGTCCTAGCGCCACCTCCAGGAAAAACACAGGAAGACCTCCCCCAAACAGGAAAATGAAATAAGGTATAAGAAATGCACCTGTAGAGAAAACACAATGATGTACAATAAAGATTAAAAGAATTCAAAATGAAGAATACTACACATGCTGCGGTAGATATATGTAACAAGGAAACACATTTGATACCCTTGTGTACACATATAACAATTTTACTTTTCTGGGATTATTGCCCCTGTTCAAAGATTAAAAATAGAATGGTTACAAACCAAAGGGAAAGGGCATTTTCATTCCTTTTTAAAGTGAACATCTATAAAGATGATGAGGATTAGATATACTTTCATTTCATTTAAGCTAAAGCAGTATTTTTATTTTAAAACCCAAAAGAAATGTTCAGTTCAAGTCTTGTCTTAGTTGCACCACTATAAATTTGGAGTAGCGCCATTAATTGGAGTTATTCTACATTTACCCTGAGAATATTGATCCATATAATTAACGTATATATTTATTTGTAAGTTAAAAGTGAAGTTCAACTGTAATACTAGTAAAATTCAAGGTTGTTGGGTTTTTTCATAACAGAGCTTGGATATTAACTATGAAATAATCAAGCAATTTCTCCTACAGGTTGGGAAAGAGAAAAGAGATTGTTATGGATCTTTCGATTTTAAATATGTGGGAGACATTCCGATGCTACCGTATTGGAAGGATGGATGGTTGGACGAATGTATAGCTGAATGAGAAGGAATTAGAGAGAGAGAAAAATACTCACCTCCGCCATTTTTATAGCAGAGATACGGAAACCGCCAGACATTGCCTAAACCAATAAATCCACCAGCCACGGACAGCAGAAAGTCAATCTTACTCGCCCACTTCTCCCGTTGAGGCGGCTTCCCCTCTGCCTCGTCCTCAGGGCGTGTCCCAGGGCTCTTGCCAGGGGAAGGTTTGAGGATGTCCTTGTGGAAATCTTTCAAACACTGCAGCTTCTCCTTTGTTGCCATGTTTCTGGTTTCTAAAGAGAAAAAAGTGGCATGAATTTATTAAACAGACATTATTGGGAGAACTCCAACCGTACAAAACTTCTTTAACCAAACTAAGTTCCCTTAAAGGTCACCCATTACTAACGCACACATTTCCTTTACTGAGCAGGATACAAATAGGCCTCAAAAAGTACACAGAAGTCTCTACCTTTGCAGGACCTTGTCAGAATATGATGCAAACACTTCCTGTGCTTGATCCAACACTCAGAGGTGAAAGTAAGCCAGTACGGTATGGTAACACAGCCAACATCACTGGCAGGACCGCTGATGGGGGAGGGGGCCAAAAGGGGCAGCTTCCCCGGAGCCCGGCAATTTAAAAGGGCCTGGGGCTCCCGGCAGCGGCTGGAGCCTCTGGCCCTTTAAATCGCCGCCAGAGCACCAGGGCTCCCAGCTACCGCTGCCGCTACCGCTACCATGGGGCTCCGGCGGCAATTTAAAGGGCCTGGTGCTCTAGCAGCAATTTAAAGGGCCTGGGGCTCCCAGCCGCCGCTACTGCTACCGCGCCAGCAGCCAGAGCCCTGGGCCCTTTAAATCGCCCCTGGAGCCAGGGCCAGCTTTAAGCCAATTCACCCGATTCCCCGGAATCGGGCCCCGCTCCGGGGGTCTTTGGCGGCATTTCGGCGGCAGGGGGGGTCCTTCGGTGCCGCAGAAGACCCGGAGCGGACCCCCCGCTGCGAAGTGCCGCTGAAGCCCCGGACTGCCACCGGGTATTGGAATCGGGCCCCGTGGGTCATAAAGCCGGCCCTGCCTGAAGCCCCGGGCGGCGCGAGCCGGACAGTGCTGAAGGGCTGGCTGGGGGAGTCTGGCCCCAGCCCCGCCCCTTCCACCCAAGGCCCCGCCCTTTCGGGGGCCCAGAGCCACTCCCCCCCCACCTTGCTCAGGTCCCCGGCCGCCCTGCATACTGGGAAGTCACTTAAGTTACTTTCACCCCTGCCAACACTCCACTGACTCAAAGACTTCCACTGACATCACTGGGCACGGGATCAGGCCAGTGAGCACTGAGAGGCTGTGTACATTGGCACTGGAACCTCACTGCTCTAAGAGGGTGTGCTCTGCCAGATTTAGGAGGTGTAAAAGATGTGCAGTCCTTGTGTGCTGACTAACTTCAGGCAGCGAGTGTATAGGGAACGCATGCTGCATCAGTAAGTGATGGGGCTGAGCCTCCGCACCCCTGACGGCAGAGGTGGTTAACAGGCTGACTGTGGGCCAAATCCGGACTGCCAGACACTTTTGAACGGACCGCAAAATCTTTTTATTGTCCTTATTGTTACTGCTGTGTGAAAAATGTTTCTCTGGAGTCTGGACCTTGACTATACCTTTACCAAGAAATTTGGACCTTAACAAAAAATAATTGACTACCCCTACCCTAAGGGATTCTGCTTGCTATGGGGCAGCGATTCTCAGGTTGCTGCTGCTTACTCTGAATCCCCTTAACTCCTCTCAATGGGCAAGTCCAAATGAAATACATATTTCACTCTGATGTCTTACAGTACTCTCACATTTTTTAAGTAACATCCATTGCTCTTTCCCACTGCCCTAATTCTTACTAGAATCTTGTATCATTTACAGCCTGCCATACTCTGGCTCTGACTAAAGTATTGTGATGGTTTATCCTTAACATGCTGGAATGGGAAGCCATTTCTCCTAATCAGGCCATAGGATCTGAAAGAGCATCTTCAATTTATTCTATTCACAATGAACCTGCTTTCATTTGGCATCAGTAAAAGCAAATGAACTTTTATATTCAGTTAACTTCTTAGGGGGAGGGATAGCTCAGTGGTTTGAGCATTGGCCTACTAAACCCAGGGTTATGAGTTCAATCCTTGAGGGGGCCACTTAGGGATCTAGGGCAAAATCAGTACTTGGTCCTGCTAGTGAAGGCAGGGGGCTGGACTCAATAACCTTTCAAGGTCCCTTCCAGTTCTATGAGATAGGACATCTCCATGAATTTATATGCATGTATAAAATTACACATTTTCCTAGTGTGATGGTTGGTTAGTTAATTAAAAATCCGAGGGCATGACTGACCCTGATGCAAAACCAAAAGCAAATTCAACCACAGGGGCCAGCTAATTTAATAGTGAGCAAATGATTAATTGCCATGTGAAAATAATAAACCATCATATTATTTTATATATAAGTGCCTTTTTTATCCAGGAGTTCTTAACTAAAACAGTTTAGGAATAACAACATTTTTTTTTTTTTTTTTTTTACAGATAGACTGTTTGAAATTATGCATTCATCAAAATGTGTTGGCAAGTAAATGGTAAACCCAAATTCAGACATTAGGTCAAATTTCTTCTGCATGCAACTCAAATGACTTCATCTGACTCCGGCTTGTTACGTTTACACAGTGTTATGATGCTGAAAATAAACATTTTCATCAGACCCAAACAAACCAGCAAATTTATGCCAGGCCACAGCCATTCCTTGCTTGGTACATGTTCTAATGTGTGCACAGTCATAAAAATCCTGCTTCATATTATCCCATTTGATAGCCGTAAGCCTAGTACTTCCTTGCTGCTTTCTGATCTGTAAACAGATTTAGAAGCTTGGGTTGACATTAGCTCTACAAGAAGTTTTTAATTGGAACATGATTCTGAGATTCATGCATCAGTGTACCTATAGAGATGAAAACCTTTCCATACACCATGTATCTCTGAGCCAGTCAAACCTGGGCCAGTCAAGCCCCAGTGCCTTAAACATTTGAAAGGCCAGTGTTCTGGTAAGATGTCCCTCTGCAATAACAACTCCCTACTGCTCTGACAGCTAAAAAAACAAACCATTTGTTTTAGCAGTACTTAATCACTAGGGTTTTCTCCTGCACTAAGAGAAAGGTCTGTTATTATATACATACTAGTGAACAGGAGGGGGAGCTTGGGGAAGAAGAAAGATAAGATGCTGGATAATCATTAAGGCTAAGATTTAATCATGGGTATTTTTAGTAAAAGTCATGGACAGGTCATGGACAATAAACAAAAATTCACAGCCCCATGACCTATCCATGACTTGTACTATATACCCCTGACTAAATCTTGGGTGTTCTGGGGGACTCCAGGGGTGCAGCTGCTGCTCTGGAGGGGGAGCTCTGGGGTGCCCGCTGCTGCTACAGTGGGGGGCTCTGAGGCATCTGCTGGTCCTGGGGGAAGGCGGGCCTCTGGGGCGCCCGCTGGTGCACCCGCTGGTGCTGGCGGGAGGGGCTCTGGGGTGCCCATTGGTGCTGGGTGGGCGCCTGGGTGCCTGCTGGTGTTCGAAGGGGGAGGGGGCCTCTGGGGTGCCCGCTGGTGCTCGGGGGAGGGGGGGCAGCCCGAGACTGCCGCAGCCGCTGCTGGCAGGGAGCGACCAGGGACCGCTGCCGCTGGCAGGAGGTAGCCCCGCCGCCCGGGACTGCGGCTGCTGCTGCAGGCAGCCCTGGGTTCAGTCGCATCTGCCAGCTGTAGAAGTCATGGAGGTCCTGGAAAGTCATGGAATCCATGACTTCCGTGCCGCTGTGCCAGACTCCCAGCCTTAATAATCATTGACCATTATGGTTTGTTTTTTTGTTTGGTTGGTAGGTTGGGTTGTTGTTGTTTTGGGGGGGGGGGGCTATTTTTGGTACCTTCCTCTGAAGCATCGGGAAGTGGCCACTTTTAGAGACAAGATACCTGACTAAACAGATCAACGATCTGCAATGAGATAATGCTTCTGCTCCTCTATGGAGGTCTTATTTTATTCAATTTTTTAGTGAGTTTGCTAATCCAGTCTAATCTTACTGGCTGTTGTCTTATTTCAACCAAAGTGCAAGTTAATTTCATTTAGAATTTGCAAACCTAACCAATTTTCTGCATGCTGTGTTCTATAAATTCTATCTATCTATGAGATGGTTGACTGTCCTGTAGTTAGAGTTAATGGCTTACAGGCTAAGTGCTAATTGTTGTCTTTTGGGATTCTAATTTCGTAACACATGGCACTACATTTTCTAAAGGGCATTCTTATTTGGGGTGCTCTACTTGTCCACTGATTTTGGGTGTCTCATTTTTGAAAATGTAAGTCTTCAGTTTTATTTTCTGATCCAAAATAACTTGGAACTTGATGATGGATCTTGGCTCTTCTGCTATCTTGCAGTGACAAACCCTCAACTCCACACTCAGTTTTTAGTCCTTCAGTAGGAATTCGAGTGAAGACAGCAGGATTTGAAACTAATTATAAGGCCTCTATAGCATTTAACCAGCTGCATAGTGAGGCACAGTACATTGCTTACCTGATAGCTGTGCAATGCACAGCTCTGGATCTTTTTATTTCCCTCATTGTAACATTTCATTTTTTGCTATGAATCTATTCATCTATTGTTGGCAAGGTCTCTATTCTATTGTCCATTAAGATACAGTGTCTGTTTATGGTTAGGAGGCATGTATTGTCCATCAGTGCCACAGGAATTAACACTAAGCTGCCACTTGTGACTACAATTCTAGCCCATGTCATATGTTTCATTCAGGGACTGTGGGAGTTTATCCCATTAGCTGCCAACTACTGGTGGCTACACAGCCACTCCCAGTTACAGGAAGTGCCTACAGAGTCTGTAAGGGAGGGGCAGAGGCCATTCTATTTGGCAAGGAAAAGTCAAGAAGGCTGAGTTTGTTTAGTGAAAGGCATTGTCTGTATCATTAATGGGGTTGGAGTTTCATTTCCTTCAGTTATGTTCCACTGGGTGAGGTTCTTAAGGGATAACAATCAAATAGCCTGATGGAGATGGGGAGGGATAGCTCAGTGGTTAGAGCATTGGCCTGCTAAACCCAGGGTTGTGAGTTCAATCCTTGAGGGGGCCACTTAGGGATCTGGGGCAAAATCAGAACTTGGTCCTGCTAGTGAAGGCAGGGGGCTGGACTCGATGACCTTTCAAGGTCCCTTCCAGTTCTAGGAGATGGGATATCTCTATTTATTTAAACAATACTTGCTCACTGCTCAGGTCAGAAGAGAATGATAGATTATGTTT